ACACATCTACAAAATTTATTTTTTTGGGTTTAGTTGTTACAAATATAATATATTATAAATTATAGTTGGTTAATTTAAAAATGGATTTTCATGCACTGAAAGTTATCAAATAGCCAATAGGTATGCCATTATAAAGGCAATGCTTTGGGAGAAAATATGCGAAGTATGTAGTGGAACATTTAATTATTATAATTATACCTCTAACATTCATTATAAAAAAAAAATGATATAAAATTAATAACATACAAATACATAGTTATAATAGTAAGTATAATATGTAAACTTGTACAAAACATTTTAATATCAATTAGAAAAACTATAAATTATAATACTAACTTATGTTCCGTAATTATTTTGGATATCATACAGGGGAGAAAAAAATAATACAAGTGTATCGAAAACTGGTATGTTGGAACAAATACATATACGTGTAGTACCAACAAATTTAAAAATGGTTTCATACCATTATTATGGTGTGATAAAAAGTTATATTTATTAATTAATAATATAATAGTAAATAATTTTAAAATGCTCATAAAAAATTTAATAATTGCTAATTGATAATAATAATTAGTAGCACGATTTTCTCTAATATTAACATAGTTAATTAAAATAAATTATTTTAGACGTATTTTTTCCCATGTTATAACTTATAAGTTATAAGCTATAGTACTATTAGTACTATACCTAATAGGTATGCTACGCCTCCAATTTGTGACTCATTTATCACTGTGAATATAATATTGAAAATTCTATCATTTTTATATTGATAAATGAGTTGCAAAATGGTGGCATAGCATACCCATTTCAATAACAATTAAATTTAATTGATTGAATTTTAATCAACATTTTGGATTGCTAGAACAACATTTTACAACAATTCAATTTTCAAGTTTTTTTTTTCAAAAACTAAAGTTTGCAAACTAAAAAGTGGAACATTTCAAATGTCGATAAAAATAACCAATATGATTTTAAAATTAAAGCGTTTCTAGATATTACTATTTTTTTTTCAACTGTATCTTTATTTAAACGGCCATAGACCATAGTTCTCTTATAAATGCAATACATTATGGGTGAATACCAGAATACAATATGATAATTTAAAAGTAATATATGAAATAATAATAATTATTTAAATATTATTATCAATATATTATTTTCGAACATGATTGGGGTTGTACCTCCAAAGAGATAACCTCTTTCCTTAGCCCATATAATTTATACTAAGCCATATATGGCTTCAAGCGTTCAAGGAACCTAACGTTTTGCGAGTTGACAAAAAGTTGGTATTATTATTATTATCGTATAGTAGGTATGCAAGCATTACAGACTAAAAACAGTTGTGTTATAATATTCACAAATCTTTATTAAATCTTAAAATTAATGCACGGGGTAACTTTTCCATGTTGATGACATCAGTTAAAGCGTCTACAGTTGGATGTCAAGTATCCTTATCTATTTGAGTGAGTTGTCGGAAGTTTCTTGGAGTTCTTCCATTGTCCCGTTAAGACCTCGGAGAAGGCCCTTATTATATGCGGGAGATGGATTTTGATGGGTAGCCGCTATCACCATCTGGACGATCCTGAGGTGCGCCATGCATACGCTTCCTTGCACCTTGGCTAAACTTAAGTATATACAAACCCTTGGTTAGCACCGTTAGCAGGCTGTGCTCCTAATATCATCTCCCTCCAATTACGCAAGCAAAGAAAGGCAAGAAGTTGTTCAGCAGTTGCATTGGGGTGGTGCAGCTCAAGCTTTTTCACATGTTTGTTGGAAAACCTTTTGATTTTGTCCTGGATGTATAAAATGTTCAAATTGCAAACCGCGTAATGGATAATTTCATTCCTGTATAGGCTCAGTAGTCAGTATGCTGTGAGCTGTGACAATGGTACGCGAAGGGCAATGTTGTGCAGACAACGTTGGATGACTTCGATATTGAATTTGCTGGTACAACCTCTCAGGCCACAGCTGTACACTTGTTTGCAATAAGTTCAAATTTTTTGGTTTGATAATAGCTACATAATATATATAAGCTGTTTGTTTGCTAGGGTCTTGTGTAATTGTGTGGAATGTCTACCAACTAGCCAGTTGTACAGCTTGTGCATTTTTTTCTTCGATTTTTCTGGTGGATATGGTGTTTTCAAAAATTACTAAGTATAAACATTTGGTGAAAAATTCAACTGTTCAATTATGAATTACAAGAACAACGACAAATCAATGAATAAACAAAAATAACAGAATCGATTTTGACAAAACTGGTTTTGAGTAAATGATCCCTTTTTTCTGTTAAATTATTGATATATGAAAGGTACCTACTCCAGAATATCAACTACATCCCATTTTCTGTCAGAAACGCATTTGAAATTGTATTCTCCCTTAATTTAAACCTTCAATCTTTTAGTGCTACAGTTAATGATGATTTCAATGACGACAAAAATCACAGTATTGCAAATTCCGTAATTTTGAAAGACCCAATTAGAATCTAAGAGTAGGTTATTTGTATATATTTGCCTCTCTTACCTTCATTTTGAATGAATTTATAGAAACTATACACACAGATTATATTATAATCTATAAAATTATAATTATCTGTATATTTATATAGGTGAATATTACTTTTATATAATAATAGTTCCCAGTGTAGCATCATTAGTATCCTATTTTGTGTTAAAAAAAGACGATCAATGGGTTTTATACTTTTATTACTAGTGTTTAGACTTTAGACTATTATATAGAACGATTACGTAATAAGTTGGTAGATTATTTAACATTAATAACTAAATAACCTACCATTATGTAGGTATCTACGTAGATCATAACATATAATCGCCAATCGCGTCGTATAAACTATAGAGTACCTATCTATATTACGGGAGACAGGCTGCTACTGCATTTATTTTGTAGATTTATTTTTAGATATTAGTTGATAAATGCGTTTGCTAACTTCTAAGTTTCCTGAGTATTGCTTTTTAGGAGCGGGGCGATGGGCTAGTAAGCCGTAGAGGGTCATTTTGTTCTGCGGTGGGTAATGTGTTCATTCATAGATATATGTATAATAGATATTACATGTCCATCGTTCAATCCAACTGTAAATGGAGGTTTTGTCAATTGTTGTGTAAACAATATATCTCATGAAGGGCTTGAAAAAAAAGCTAGCCAATACACGAATATAATTGGGTGTTTATTGAATCATTGCAATATTTAATAAAAACTGTGTAAACAATTTCGATAAAAAAAATTTAATGATAAGCAAATTCTTTTGTATCGACATTTTAATAATTGCTCTTCACGACTGCACATGTATAAATGTATAATCAAAACTATTATATAATATTATACCATGCCAATTTAAATTTATATTTTGTATAAACTATTTTACTTGAGACATATTTTAATTTTGTATTGTTTTTCAAATGGGTTGTAATAACTATAAAGTGTAAAATGTGTAGCATAAAAATACTATCTTAAACCTGTAGCTAAATTGATCAATTTAATTATGTTGTAGAGGTTAGACAGTATAGCGATTGTACGGCGGGGAGCGGGGGGAGGAACAGGGACATTTGCCTCACCAACCCTTCCAAAGAAGTTTTTTAAGTATAGACGTTTAGTTCATGTTTAATTATTTTTTGCTTTAGGATTGTTAATGGTTTTAAACTGATGTAGCCAATTAAGTATTTAATTAATAATTAGTCTCTTTTATGGGCACAGCTCTTTTGAAAACGTATAATATACGTCAAAGGAATTAAAGTGCCATACAAAGTACATTATAATTAAATAATCAATTATACAATCAATTGTGTCTCATTATAACACCAATTATATAATGTATTTGTTACACATAACTTTCATTATCTTGAAACATTTTTTTCAGGGGTAGTAGCGTCCACGATCCTTAAAAATTATGTCTTAATAGACTATACTCCTTAAGAAAACGTATCGGGCGCCAGTATAATAGTAAGTATACACGAGAGTACGAGACTTCTCGTACATTAATGTATATATATATATTATTATTATTATTATTAGTCTCTTCAAAACTATAAAATAAAATAATGTCATTACTGTAATGGGTGTAAACACTGTAAACACACGGCATTGGTTCGAAAAGTCGTTGGGCGGAATGCGTGAGAGACCGACCGCCACCGCCGACGGATGAGAAACGGTGAATTCCGAGCGAGTGCGTCGCGTCTGGAAATCGTTAAAAAAGAAGCGATAGCGATAAAACCGCAATCACGTTCATCAATTTTTTTTTTGAAAAACCGAATTCAAAACGTATTCGTTTAATATCATCTCATAATACCTTAATTATATTATTTATTAGTGCATACGCCGACATATTACTGTCATAACCGCTACAGACACGACAGTTTATAAATTCTATATTATTGTGTGTATTTGTAATTGATTTACGATATTGTCGTCGTCGTCACAGTATTACAATGTCATTAGTATTTACTATATAATATTATAATCATCAGTAATGATCACAATATTATAATAATTATCAACTATTGTATAAACGGTATTCGGTCGACACGTCCCGCCCGGGCCGTTGTTAAATTGATACGAAGACGATCCATTATTTATGCGCTTGGTTCGTATAAATCACCTGAATAGTAAATTTACTTATTAACACCATTTACATATTATAGTGCACACATTCGTAGGAAGATTGCAACGAGCCCGATGTGAGGTGGTGGTAACTACAGACAGCAGACCACTACTGTAGTACTGTGGTAGTGGTGGTTACTGGGTCTGGGCGGCGGAGGCTACGCATTATAATAGTGTTATACACTCATATAGTCATATACATAATAATGTGTATATGACGATAATAATAATAATAATAATATTAGGTACATTATTCAAAACCAGCAAGGTTTATTAAACCCTCCCAGGGAGACGCCATGTTTTTCGACAGTGTGGCCACTACAACAGACGACGCATTACCGGGCGTTGCCGCCGCGCCGCCTTAGCTGGTGTCTCTCGCGTTATTATTATATTCGGGTTCGGCGTCATAACAGGTATATAATATTATACTGTCTATATGGGAAACGAACGATCGTTTTTGTTCCAAGTTTTTCCTTTTTTTTTTTGAATATCTAGTATTTTTGAAACCAGCGATTTTATTTTAATCTTGGTTCCGGACGACCACAACGGCGGAGAATCCAAACTTTTTGAATTCTGAAGGCAGTCACGATTCACGAGACGGCGGGTAATAGTAATGCACAAGTGAGTCCGAAATCCGAATATATATGTTGAGGTGGACAATACGTAGAAGAGAAAAAAAGAAATAAAACGAATTCAAATACCGCCCATGGAGGAGAAAAACGTGTCATTTTCTAAATCCCATATTTTATAATACGACGATGCGTTTGTTCACTAGCAAAATTTTATATTTTTACTTAATATTCAATTTCCCAGTAATTTAACAAATTAACTGGCTGCAAGTAATTATCCCTTACGTTTAGTTTTGCCAATGTTTTGTATGTTGCACAGCTCGAATTGCCAATTTTGGGTTCACTCGCTGTAGTATGCGTTAGTAATTTTCAAAGGAACTATGGCTAACGATAATTTGGAAGATTTGAAAAACGGCAAACGACCAGCAACGTCTGCAAATGCTGAAATAATGGACATCGACGATCTCATACAAGAAAATGGTAAGCATTGTATACAGATATCCGAAAACATTTAAATGGTCAGGTGAATATTTTGTAAGAAATTGATGAAAAGCGTTTTGAAAATTTCTCACTAGTTAGAAATTTTTTTTCGATTTTCCATGGTCAGTAAAACTTAAATGCTTTTATTGATCTCATAAAAAAGCCCATGCATTTAGCCAATTTTCATACAAGTATAACATACTTATTGACCTACTCGTAAATTTGTTATTATGTGCACTTTGTTTCCTGTCAAGGTTTTTTATGAAAAGGTCAAGATCCACCACTACATATTATTTAAGTCCTGCTTCATGCCTTTATAGTTTATATATTTATTTTGTTTTTAATAGTTATTGTATTTAAAAATGTTTTAATTACTATTATTTTTTATTAGCTGAAAAAATCAGAGTGGGACGTGATTACCAGGCTGTCATTCCAAAGCTATTGGTACTCCCAAGTATGTTTTGTCATGAATCTTATCTATAAGAATTGTCTATTTAATGATTTTATTGCTTACAGAAAATAGACGCGAACGACTGAACAAAAAAGCACTATTAGTTTGGTCTCCAACCGATAATATTTCAGAAATTAAATGTATTAACTTTATTTAACTATTTAACTTTTGAATTTTAGTTTTTAGATAACATTTATATTTTTTTCATATTTTTTTTTTTATAGTAAATGAATACATATTATTATCAAAAGATAAATATGGTTACAACAGTGAACAGGCATTGGGCATGCTATACTGGCATCACCACGACATGGACAAAGCTCTTAGTGATCTATCAAATTTTGCACCTCTACCAGACGATTGGTCGACCGATGATAAGGTTACTTTTGAATCAGCATTTAATAGCATTGGGAAGAATTTCTTACGCATCAAACAAATGGTAATTTAAATCTAATTAAAACGTATCATATAAATGTCTACATGTTACTTAATTGTCCTTTTAGATGCCTGATAAACCAATAGCATCATTAGTCAAATATTACTATCTTTGGAAAAATAAGAGAAAGAAGAGCAGTGTTATAGACCGACAAGCTAAAAAATTAGCAAATGTCCGTGCAAATGAAAATCAAAACGGAAGTAGAGAAGGGTCCAGTTCGGCAGAGTCTGAGCCTGATGACAAGGTAAAGAAAAACATAATTTTTAATCTACAAAGACCATACCATACTATGCAATTGTAAACATGTATTTGTAGGATGAGACACTATACTAAAAAAAATACCTTATCATGTTACTATTGAACTGAATACAACATAAAATAAAAATAAGTAAGTGATTCATTGCAGTATACATATTTTATTGGTATAGGGTAAACAATTATTATATACAAAATAAAATATCTTCAGTCTGATAATTTAGACTATTTATTACTATTGTAATATTTCATTGTTATGTTAAACATGTGAAACATGTGTAAATCAGATATTTAATTTAATAAAAGTAAAAAAAAAAACTTTTGACTGGACATTGTAGAATGTCCTTATCAAAACCTTTACTTCAGTCTCGCACAACTCACAATGTCAAGATAATGTATATAGTATAACATTGACGTGTAGGCATGGTGTATAAAATAACAAATTGGTATAGTTATTTTATTTCTTATAATTTATGACATGAAAATATTTTAGTTATGTAAATATATAAAAAGTAAGCATGCTTTATGAGGTATATGGGAAACACTTATGAATTCTGGAAAGTAACTGCTGTAGTATTTTAATCTAGTGTTGCAAACCAAAACAATTTTTACTTTTTCATCAGGATGCTTACTCGTTTAGTAAGTTGACTGAACTGGACTTAACATCTTAACATATGGCAAGATGTGGTGGATGGGTGTCAATCATTGGACATATTATGCCAATAGTAAAATTAATAATGTCAAGATGTATCAAATAATTAATATTAAAGACATTTATAGAAGAATTGTCCGGATGGGAAACCATATTTTGATTTGTGACCATCTTTAGTCATTCCGATAAACAAAGTCCAGTCATATATTTTATTCATAGTATGTTTTTTATAGTAAAATTCATTATATTATCAAATTGGAAGTGTAATTTATTGTTGTAAACCAATTATTTTTCAATACTTACATTTTTAAAATAAAATTCTAAATAATATTCATTAAATAGATTTTTAATTGATCAAGTAAACACATTAATGCTCATACTTGCTTTGATTTTAAAATACTGTACAACACTTGTGTAAGAAATCTTTTAGTTAAAAAAAAAGTTATTTTACTGTTATTTTAACCCAAATCCTACAGACATAATATTATAATGGTTTGTAAAGAGTAAATGTCATTTTAGCGTCCTCTGTTATTAAACATTAATTATTGACATAAAATAATTTTTTTTTTTTAGAAGGACCTTGGGGAAGGAAGTTCAAAACAGTCTTGTTCAGTTTGTGGAGTTTTTGTTACTACTCTTCATCCCACTCAAAAAGGATCAATGTGTGGCACATGTCATACACATTTTCGGTATGAATTGAAACAAATACATATACATTTATATTAATAAATATTACTTATAAATTATGATTTATTTTATGATGAATGTAAATAGTATTTTAATAATTACATTTGTTTTACACAATCAGGAGGACTAATGGTGGTATTAGACCAACATTAGGTCCACCACGTCCAAACAATCGCCATTTGAATGTTGCTCGTAATAAGCGTTTACCACCACGAGGCATGTATGTTAATCATGATGATCTTCAATCTATTGCTTCTGGATCCAATGGTCAAGGAGACACTGTTTTATCGGCCATGGAAGATGAGGTTGTATCATTAAAATGCAAAGTATGTGTTGCATTACTCAATTTTTATATATTTTTTTTTTTCGAATTGTGAATTTTAATGACTCAGATACAGTCTAACAAACAAGAAATTGGACATGTGCATAAGAAGCTTAAACTAGATGTTACTGAACTTAGAAACATTGAACCCACTACGACTCGCATTATTTCTCGTTGGAGCAATGAAGAAGTTATGCTTGCTATTCAAGGTAAAGTGAAGAAATCTATAATCTCACCAAACATCGTATTAAGAATTCTTATCAACACAAACAGGATAATCACTTGTGCTTAAAAATGTTCAGATTGTCATGCGCTACAATTTGAGCTTAAAAATCTTGTCATCTAATCTAACAATATGGTCATCATTCACAATCATTTGATCAATGGTTATGATTAGAGTTTGGGACTTACAGCACTTAAAAACACAATAATAAGCAATAAAATATGCATTTAATGTATTTATTATTATTTATTATTTTATTAATAATAATTAATTACGATTAGTGTACTTAATATAGAAAATTTAAAAAAAAATCAACTTTATTCGTCAACTATATACCTAATGATGGAAAAATTAAAAATTAAATTTTTCATTTAAATCAATAAATAAACAATTGTACATTTACCGGGAATACCTTAAGTTTCAAAGAACGTTTAATAAGCACAATATATTAAAATTATCGTATCGCAACATATTATATAATATGTAACGATACGGGCAATCAGGCAATCATAATATTTTCAAATCACAAAAATTATAAGGAGTTGTGAGTTGCATGTAGCAAATAGGTATATTAGACTGCGAGTAAGCTTCATTACTATTTTCTTTTTTAGATCGTGTGAAATTTGTAAAGTTAAAATTTCGAAAAATGTTCCAAAATATGCACATTCAAATTTTAAATTTGGTATAACGGCATTGAGAAATGAATTTATTTCGCACTTTGCTACATTTTACAATAATTAAAAAAGTATGCAAATGTTAAAAGTCCCAAACCTTGGTTATGATGATATACCATCTGTACATAATCTATTATCAGTCTTAATAAAAAAGACTGGTGTTTAAACTTCTGACCTTAATTGTTACCATTCAAATATTTTGTTTTTTAGTTGTAATAAGGTGTTGTAGATTTTATAGTTTTTGAATCGGTATCATCAAAGGGCTTTTTTTCACTCAAATTTCTGACTTATCTAGCTTGTCCTCCACATAACTATGGTTCTATTTCATATAACTTATCTAGCCTATAGTATTCTATAGTCCATTGAATAGATGGATTGATTTTAATTTGAGAGATTTCCAAAAACTTTACAATGGTTCAACCAACGCAGCTTCTTTCTTTTCTCTTATTTACTTCTAAATTTCTCAATGTTTTACTCGCTCCATTGTGCTTTATGTTGTTCTAGGTATACTACAAATTAAGGCTCTAATCATCACCTTGAATATTTAATTTGATTTTATAAGTTTTAGATTATTGTTTATTTTATTTGTTAAAAAATATTCTGCAATTCTTTAATTGGTTATCAAGTTAAGGATTTCATTGAATTTTTGCTTATATAGTAAATATTATCATCATGAATACGGGATTAATAATTCTCAATTACTCAAGTGATTATTTGTGATTATTTGCGTTCAATAAAATTTGGATTTATTTATTGAATACTTATCAAATATCTTAATTCCTTAGTTTTTTTTGTAGTACCTTCATCTTAATAATAGCTAACAAATATTGCACTAACGGTAAGTTTTTTCCACTGTAGACATTGAAACATACCATTACCGTGTCTATGTCCTGACTAGTAATTACGTCTGGGATCTGTAGGGAAACACACCTTATAATCTCAACACATTGCATTTTAATTTGTGAAATATTGTTTGGAATTATTTAAAATGAAATATTAGCTTATTATAATGGGTTACAATATATATTAGACATAAGTTTCTTTATGAATTCTGTTTTTATAAATTAAACTATACCAACTACTTTTCAAGATTTTATAAGATACAATGAAATAACTTTTATGTATAACTATAATGTGGACAGTTATTTTTATAATTTTATTGAAATCTTTAGGAATGCGCAAATATGGAAAAGATTTCAAAGCCATTGCTGAAACGATGGGAACAAAAACTCAAAACCATTTGAAATCATTTTATTCTCATTATCGTAAGCGTTATAAACTAGACTCAATAGTTAAAAACTTTGATGCTGAACAAAGTACAATGATCATTGAGCTTAGTGATGACGATGATGAACCGGTTAGTTTAAATATTAATTATTTTAGTTTTTAGGAATATAAAATAAATGATTTGAATTTCACTATATGCTCTCCTTTACAAAAGTCTAGCAATTGAACAACAATTTTTGATAAAAATAGGTGTTTATATTTGTTCACAGTTTATTTTAACTATTGGGAATCCGAATATTTTGTGTAGCATAAAAATAGTTTGATGTCCAATAAAACTGGAATTAGACCAATAGCTTAATTCTCTTCAAAAAACATAAATAATGCTTTTTTAAATTGTAATAAGTTATTTATAATAATAGTTGAGTTTGTAACTCAAGTTGATTTCCATGTTGCATGGCTCATAGGGTGTGGGTTGCTTGTCTTTTCCAGTTTGTTGGTTAACTTGAATTTTGAGAATCGACCTTGATCTATATCTATATTCAGTCTCATAAAGGTAACCAGATGGCTGGCTTCTGCGCACAGCTGTGCTGTGGGAATGGGTGTGGCTAACATGTCATATTGAATTCCGCGCTCTTGGGAGTATTACTTAATTATTCCAAAAACCACCTACTTGCATTTTGCTAAGATGAACAACAAAAATCAATTTTTTCAGCTTTAGCCGGTAGTCTGAAACTAAAGCTGACGACGAAAGTCAACAAAAATCAATTTAATCAAGGGGTATGGTCTGAACTATCTGGAAGAAAATCAGTCAACACCTGAGGTTACTCTTATATGAGACAGAATATATTATAGTAGTGAGGAGGATGTCAGCAATATTTGTTTTCTCTCATGTGAAATGTAAAGAAAACACTTTCACCTAAAATCGTTTTTTTATGTTTTCTGAGTAACTTTCGAATAAAATCACCTATTGCTAAAATTATAGAGGGTAATATTTTTGTGTGTATGACATTGGTTTTATTTTTATTATTAGTTAACTTAAAAAAAACTTGGAAATTTAAATGATGGCGTTGAAATTGTTTTGAGGCGGTATTTAGACAAGTTGCTACGTTGTTCCCTCAAAAATATTATATTTTAAGATTAAAGATTACTCAAAAACATAAAAAAAATGATTCTAGGTAAATGCGTTTTGTCCATGTTTGGCGTTGGCCCAATAGAGAAAACAAATGGTGCCCTGACATCCTCTTATGATTAACGACATTTTTATATAAATTAAGAATAATTAATCCTATCAACATTTCTTAATATTTTGTCAATATTATTTTTATTATTAACATCTGCTTAATTTTTTTCTCAGGTCATCAGAAAAGATGAGCCTTCATCTACAATAACAAGGCAGAGTACACCATCGACTTTGGCTTCCGGAACTCGGCTTATTAGTAACCTTACATTGAACTCTAAAGCACATCAAACGGCTGCTGCTGCAAAGTGATACTCATTTGATCATGATGTATTGGCTTCTATTATTTCTCACTGCCTTTTATTTCCCATATTATTTACCCTACTTATCCAATAAATAATATCAAATGCATTACAACCATTATATTATATTATTTTAAATAATTTTAAATTAACGGATTTATTTTATAACCAAATTTTACCCTGTAATTGGAATTTTTTGTAAGTATTTAAAAAATATTGATAGTCAACAAAAATTATTTTGTTAGATTTTATTTTTTCATAAATTTTTTTAAACTAATAAATTACGATTTTGTGTTAAATTTGTATGTTAAAAATTAGTATTTTTAATATCTAAGGTTAAGTAAAATTGTACAGTTTAATTGTAAATATTGAAACAATTAAAGATTAATATTGTTGATGTATAATTTTAGTTTTTCTGAGTAAGTAAATACGCAGTAAAAATAATAATATAAAAAAAAAAATATGATTGTTAAAAAATGAAATGAACAAATAAAATGATTCAAATATTAATGGTATGTATTGATAACTAAAGTATAAAAATATATTCTTGTATTCAGACGGAAACAGTATTTTTACAAAACCACGAAAATTGTAATTAAACATTGTGAAAACTGCTTGTTTAAATTGTCCTTGCGTATAATATTGTGATTACTGATTAGTGATAACTAATATATGGTTTAGGTATTGATTAATCCTCATAAAGTTATTTTCATTTTGTTGGCTGTGTTATAATTATATTTTTGATGCTCCATAGGTGTAAATAGCCCAATTTTGTTTTTGGGTGGAACTCAAGTAGTCAAGTACCTAAGTAGTTACCCATAATATTGATAAAAAAAACGTGTCACCCTCACTACCCTAACTTATAGTTATCGACTTATCATTAAATTTATGTAACATTATTATATTCATTATGTAAAGCAAATGGAGTAGTTGACAAACTAATTATTTCTGTGGTAAAATATTACATGGCTAGTTCATAGCTTTTATCACATTTTCTATAGGAAAAAACAACTATTCTTATTGTCTGTTATTTCACTGAAATACTGTACCATAAAAACAACATTTTAAGTAACTTTTATTTGGGTTTAATTTCATAATCATTGGTGAATTCCAATTTTTTTAGTTTTGATTTTACTTGGGCCCCAGGTTGACGCACTTGAAAAATCCCAAGTTTTCTCAAGTACAACAATTTATAAATATATTTTGAACTTTTCTTTGACTATAACATATTATTAATTAAATTAAATAAGGTACATAGTACATACAGTGTAGACGTGTAGTGTACATTACGAATGAATACGTAGGAGCAACAACAAGAAATCTCCAATTAATAAAAGTTTTCAAAAAAAAAAAACAAATAATCGAAAATTTCTTATGCCTATACATAATTCAACACAAATCAAAATATTTTAAACATTTTATAGAATATAGGAAATTCTTACACAAATATTTAGTGAAAATTTCATGTATCTACGGTTATTTTTGTTCGAGTTACATTAAAAACCAAAATCGATTTTTTCGAAAACTGGTTTTGTGTAAAAATTACCGTTTTTCCCTATTTTTTTGTTGTTTTTTCCATTGCTTTTGAAAACTGTTGGGAATTTTAAATTTCCCCCCGGATGAACTAACTACTATCACTTTCCTACCAGAAAAGTTGCTGTTCATGAAAATCGATACTCTTACTCCAAGAAATCACGAGGACAGACGAAAAAACACAATATCATTGTAAAATCAATACATGTATCGTCCAGAATCTAAAAACAATCAATATTTGGTTTTTGTGGTAGTTACAGGACACAGCATGGCCATCGTCAGGATTTGCAAGGCTCAAGGCAGAGTAAAATTGAAGGACCCTTAAATATCATTATCGTCAGTTGCATATAGGTAAATACCTACTATATAATAAGTATTATAAAGAAGAGGCAGACCGCAGGGGCGCAATTATATTTAAACCAACTACTAGAGTGTAACAATAATATGAATAAGTATATAAATGAATAACATAAGTCATAACACATAATAAAATACATAACTTAAGAGGATGCTACCCACCCGTTTGTTGTCTCCGTCTTCCCAACTTACGACAAGACAAATTTTCGTTCTCTAGTTTGAATAGTGTGCCGTTAGTTTTGATATTAGAATTGACCTATGATCAAAGATTTAGGTAAGAACATTACCTATGGTTAAGAGTTAGCGGATTTTCGATATTTTCAAGTGAGATACGAGTATGTGAAATAACACAAATCAAAAATGCTCATATCTCGCTTGAAAATTAAAATATCCAAAAATCCGCCGACGCTCAAGCATAGATAATGTTCTTAACTATAACTTTAATAATATGTCAATTCACTCTAATGTCCCAGATTATATTTTTATACAATCTGTGCTAACTGCTAATATCGAGACTAACAGCACACTATTGGACACACACTAGTGAACGCAAATGTTCTATGTCGTACGTGTGTGAGGAGACAACTAAATGCATGGGTAGCGTCCTTACAATATGTCAATTTTATCAATATCAGCTCTGAAAATTGAATTTCAAATTTCAATCATTAATTCGTTTAAATTTCGATACATTCATTTGAATGTAAACGTATGCTAATATAGGTAGGTAGGCAAAAGCAGCAGTAGGTAGTAAAAATAAAATTACTTCAATTTAAAATTTAGAACATAAATATTACATTTTTTTCCTGCTCATCAACTCGATTTTTTTGTGTCTATATAAAACCGAGGCCTGTCCAACTGTGTTGAATGTGTGAGGTCCCGTTCGCCCTGCCCCAGGGACGGCCCTGTGTCAAAGGTTAATTAACCTAGACCTATTGCCTTAGTTAATAAGTCTATGGTAATTAATGGCAAACTGCCGCCTACTAACTGCCTAGATGCCCTGTAGATCTTCCATCGTCTCTTAGATCCCCGATGTATATTGGCTTCCGTGTTAAATAGATCGCGATATCACATGCAATTTCCAACCCCCGGTAACAACTTGATTCCTCATGATCTCTAGTGCCAGCAAGAGCCAAGATGTCTAGATCTCCATTATTTAAATCTATATTTTATAGCTGATTCGTCGTTGACCGGCAGGGTAGGTACCTACAGAAAGTGATTGCCAGAAGGATCGCGTATTCACGTCAGCTGTTTAGGTTTAACCGTTATCAGACGAGAGTACGAGACCAAACAATTGATAACACAGAATTTCTGTATCTGAGGTCGTTTTTCGTTTTACTCTTAAGTTCGTGTAAAGTCCGGTTACTTTACCGTTAAGTGCTGAGGTAGGTTGTAAATTGAATTCACTGTCTGTTTCTTTGTATTCAAAAGTACAATTTGTTGGTTTCACTGAAAAAAATGAAGATGATCGGTGAGTTAATAATAATATTATTATGTCAATGTATGTATGGTGTGATATGGTGCAATTTAATTGAGTTGTCTGGAAGTATGACTTGTAACCCCTAGTTAAAACTACTTAAATATTATGTTTTTTTATTTTTTCAATATTTTATAATCAGAAAATATTAAAATATGTGTCATAAGTCAAATCTTTTTTGTTTTTCTATATAATTATTATTCTATTAAGAATTGTCACACTGCATAGAAATTAACTCTAATAATAATATTTAAATTTAACTATGGATGCTATATTTGGATTAATAATTTAGGTCGCCCAAGTCAAATCCTGTCGGCCTCCAAGAACATCAGTTGTCTATTGAAGAATCCTGCAGTCACCCAAATTTGTCTTAGAAATGAATCTACCAAAATTCAACCGGCGTCTCAAGATACAAATGTAGAAGGTTTGTTATCAATTTTATTATTATTGTATCATTTTTTCATAGTTTACAATAACATTTTTTTTCAATTGTTAACAGAAAAACCATTTCGTCCATATTCGCCGTTTCAAAAGACAAACAATATGGCCGAATATGCTGTTGCTCGTTTGGACGATGTCTTGAACTGGGGCCGTAAGGTATTTAAACAATAAACATTTTTTTTTGTCATATTTTGATCTTACTATTTATTGAACGATTTGGTTTTCAGCACTCTCTCTGGCCTTTGACTTTTGGATTGGCATGTTGTGCTGTTGAAATGATGCACATAGCTGCTCCTCGATACGATATGGATCGATATGGTGTTGTATTTCGTGCATCACCTCGTCAGGCTGATCTTATTATAGTCGCAGGAACACTGACAAACAAAATGGCACCAGCATTGAGAAGAGTTTACGATCAAGTAAGTTAGGCAATTTTTCATTATTTCATTGGTTATTTATGTATATATTTTCATAGATGCCCGATCCAAAATGGGTTATTTCAATGGGAAGCTGTGCAAATGGTGGTGGTTACTATCATTATTCATACTCAGTTGTGAGAGGATGCGATAGGGTCATTCCAGTTGACATTTATGTACCGGGTAAGTGTTGCTTGTTGTGTAGTTATGTCCAAATATTTAATTCAATCCACAGGCCAAACAGTGTGAACCTTAGCGTATGGTTAAATATAGATCATATTTTTTTTAAATATTTACAGCAATAGTTATTTAGAGTATGCTACACCTGTATGTGTGCCGTCATAAAAATATAAAACAGCAAAAACTATTTTTCACGGGTAAGAACCACTCAGGCTGTAGACCAAGCCAAGCAACCAATTTTTCACACTATATAAAGGAGAACATTTACTATACAACGTTGTTTTATTTTTTCGATATCACAAATACAAAAAAAGTTCTTATGGTTTAAAATATATTATTTTTAAGTTTTTCAAACTTAAATAATTCTTCTTTTTTTGAGTTCTGATATCAAAAACAGTGAATGTTCTTCTTTCTATAGTGTGCAAATTTGGTTGCTTAGTTTCAGTCTGACTCTTACTTGCAAAAAACAGTGTTTGTAATGTCTTACGTTCGTGAGACGCAGACAACACATGAGGTTGTAGTGAGTTCTTAAATATATAGTGTTCATGGAGAGTAAATATAAAATAATAAGTTTTGTTAAATACAATATTTTTATGATTTATGTTGTACTATTTTATATTTAACTGGAAAGTTAATGAGACACTCGCAGAGCATTATTATGTACATCATAGAATTCTCAATTTAATTACGGTTGATATTTTTTTCTTTTATAAACAAAATATTCTGGTCAACATAATTGGAATTTTGATTGAAATATACTGAGATGAAACTATTAATGTACATTCTATTGGTTTTAATATCTATTACTAAATATGTATATGTTCATGGTATTTTTAATATGTAAATGTCCTTTAGGTTGTCCTCCAACTGCTGAAGCTTTGATGTATGGTATCCTTCAGTTGCAGAAAAAAATAAAAAGAATGACACTTGCCCAGAGTTGGTATAGAAAGTAATCTGTTGTTTTTGTACATTTAAAACATAAATGGTTTCGTATATTACATATTTTATCATTTGTAAAAATAATATAACCTGTGAAACGCCTAATTCTGTTATACAATATAGATAATAGTTTAGTATTGCTAAATATAACACAGTTTTAAATTGTACATCTTTGTGTTGTTATGATTTCCTTTAATTGTTGTAAAAGCATAAATGGTATGATAATAATAAAATTGTATTTTCCTTAAATCTATTTACTGTTTCAATGTACCACGTCATACTTCCTACTGATTTGTGGTATAAAATGACAAAATGTATTATTATTTATAGTAACATTTAGATTCTAAGCTGAGCGATAAATGTATTGATTTTACAAGCAACTGAAATAGTGACTGCTAACTTTTTGCAAATGTAGAATGTTGGGTTACTAAGCATATCTTAGAATTTTAAATCATACTTTCCAAATAAATTAAAAATATAAGCTGCATAATATATGCCACTTCCTGTACTTTGTAGTGTATTATTAATGTCTGTGAAGTTGGCCCCACAACATTATCCTATAAATTCAAAAAATAAGACAATATTTTGAATATAATTGACAATATTGATTTTAGCTTTTATTTTTATAGTTAGTGGTAAATAGCTTATAATATTATAATGACATGCTTGAAAATTCTAAAAACTTGTTTGTAATTATTTGATCATCAATATATAATATACCTATATGGCTATTTATAAATAGGTAGGTATATTTGAACAATGGTCCACACTCGACAACAACTATACGATTATTTACTATGTTATAAGAAAATGATATGAACATTGTACATGGATAATCGATATAAAATAATAATTAATGACCTACCAAATATTAATATTTTATACTTACGTTACTATAAATAATAATAATTATGGACTACGGTAGTACGGTATTCATTTTACTTTGTAGTACGTGCATTATTCTTTCAAATTCAACAACCCATCATTATAGGTTGTTCAAAATTTCAAATGGTTACCATGGGCGGATAGGCCATTTTTGGCCTACTGGAAAAAGGAAACCATTGTCCAATTACCGTGGCGGGAGGGGGGCATACAAATCCTGGGAAATTCCAGGCTTCCCGGTAGCCCTAACTGTCCTTAGCGGTTACCCACTTTCAGTATCGGCCTAGTCACAGCAGGGGGCAGGGATTCCTTCCTGGGCCCTATCCGTGTTATAGTTTTCGAGGCCCCAGTTCACTAATGATACAATATAATATTCAATTATAGAAAACTGCTGAAGCATTGAGCCCTAGAAAAAAATTCCTGTCTGGGCCCTTTGTTATTCAGGCCTACACTGGCTACTTGCCCGGGTTTTATTTTTGTGTCTGTCTTACGTAGTACACGTAGGTATAAAGTAGAAAAAATCAACAGGTCTTTGATGTTTTGAGGGGGATTGCTGGTGATGTTGGTACTTCAAAAACGATTAAGACTTAAAAGTAAAAATTCTTAGTAATTTTTAAAATAGTTTGGTAAATACGCTTAACTAGTTTACGACAAAATCAAAATTGTCCATTTGCTGTAATTTAAAAATAAACTACTGTAAATCTTCACCAAATATTCAAATTAGCAATACTGCATGGACATTATATAATTTAATTAATTAATTTTAAAAAGTTTGGATTAAAGCCACATTAATTTTTTATGAGCGATTGAAGTTCGAATATTTGTGACATTGTATGTATTCAATACTTACACGTGTAATAAAAATTGATCACAATGAAATATTTAGATTCATTTTTAAACTTTTTATACCTCGAATCTATTCACACGGATATAATACGGTACGTCGGCTTATAAGTTAGATGTTAACTAATAATAGTTAAAAATATTAAATTATCAAATACTATTTTAATAAATGAGATAAATTTTTGGAAAAATTAGTTTGATTTTATATATAACTAATTACGAATAGAAAAATAAATAAATACCAACAGGCAATAACAATATAATATTAGATATTATTATAAATAAAGGCTTGAACGGTCTGTCTCCTCGGAATATTTTTCGTGCGCAAAAATGATAATATATGTCACTATTGTCATAGAATTCAAATTTAACACAATATCCATTACAGTTTACAATGATAATCCTAATGAATGATGATGTACACTTGACACCTATACTTTTATTGGAGATCGAGTTTCCTTGATTTTTTTTTCGTTTTTTAATTTGAAGATATAAAATACATCATTTTAAAATCATATATTACTCTATAATGGGTAATCCTATAATTGCGACAAATGTGTGTATTCCTTAAACGCACAGAAAACGGAAACAATATATTTGTCGACACTTGTACAACATTGACTTTAGAACATAAATAATACATAGGTGATAGTCCATACATACCATAAAATAAAATAATTGGCATTGTATTAGGTACTTCAAGTAAGATTTTTTTGTAACAAGAGGTTTTTTAATAGTTCAAATAATTGTTATTACTTATAAATAGTAATGAGACAATAATGACAAAATAGCTATAGGCCTATAGACATTAGACACCTAGTCTACAAAAAACAAATTTTGTATAAACAGAATAACCTATATGGTTACATAATATATTTAAAAATTAATGTTTGTCTGTTACTTTGTACTCTATAAAATCAGAAACTACTGGACAGTGAACTGTTTTCAATTTCAATACGTAGAAGTTAGTAGTTACGTATATCAATAGATTTCTAAAAACTGTGTACCCTATTTTCAACCCCCCATGTCATCGATATAATATGACCGATTTTAACAAAAAACCATTGAGAATATTAAATATTGAATAATTCAACAGAAACCAAAAGAAAAATATGTATAGACCGTTTATAATAGATATAATCAGTAGACAGATATTATTATTGTCAGGTTTTATTATCCAGTGCTAGAATTGGGAACATTTAGAAAGAAGTACCCTGTTTACTTATACAAAATTAGGGGACTAGCCGGGCTAAGTAAATTGAGTCCGAAGCACCATTTTTGTGGTAAACTGAGTCCTGAATTAGTTTCCAAAAAGCACATTTTCCTTCCCACTTTTACAGAGAAATTTATGTCTATCAACTATAAAAATTGTCTTGCTTCGTTGTTCACTTGTCATGAAATCCATTGTTTTAAACTACACTGTTTTTTGTAATAAATAATTTTAAGAACTGTAATTTGTAAGTTGAACATTTGAACTACAACCGGTGACTAGTTGTCATAGTCGTCGGTATAATAAATTGATGTATTATTTGACGATACGTTTTTTTGGTAATCGATAAACGGATAATATAGTGTGACAATTTTTGTGCTCATAAGGTCTTTCCAAACACTATCGGCAAATCGGTAATCGATAATCACTAATTGGTGACTATAGTCACTATATACAGTACTCATTGAGTGTAGAGACTTTTTTATTTTTTTATTTTTAAGTTATCGTCGTTTCCTAGGTGTCCCTAATGAGGGATTTCCTACCTTGTCATTAGTTCATAGTTTTTCTTTCACTCACCATAATTATTACTTATTGTACACCCCTGTATAGATTGTAATATTCAAAATAAAGTCATTTTTATAAAAAAAAAAAAAAAGTTATCGTCGTTATTTATAAATTATTTTTTCGAAAAATATTATTAGTTATTACTTGGGACTCAATTTACCTAGCACTTCAAAGTTTTCCGGACTCAATTTACCTAGCCCCCTAATATCCACCCAATTATTTGGGACTCAGTTTACCAATCCCGAAAATTAGAGTCTCCGTCACTTTTTATATCTATTGTTGTACCAAAAAAAAAAATAGTAGATGTACTCTAAAATTCTTGAAAATTAGTTGAGGTACTCAGTCCTCCCGAGCTCTCCTCAATTCGAGCACTGGCTATTGGTTAAATCTGAATAATGCACATGACAACCGGAAATTCTACAATTTTTCACCAATATTGGCACCAAATTTTGCACACATATTATTTGGGATCTCGTGGTAGCAACTCGTAACTGTTTTTGAATATAAGCCACGGTTAACAGCTATTAATGTAGAATGAAAAGTGTATTTCTAAGGACCGAGGCTTATAGGCTCAAAAGATTCTTGACCGTTTTTGACGATTCAATGGAGGTTTAGGTGTAAAAGAATATAGATTGAACCATCGAACCAGTTATTTTAGGGGGGCTTTTAATAACATTAAAATCATGACCGCATATTGGTTTATTTCTGCTTGCAATTGGCTTAAAAGTTACTTAGTACTTATTAGTTAACTGCCTTCCACAGGTGGATCCACTCGGATTCAGTTATCCCCAGAGGGGGTCTCAAAGCAATTTATTAGTTGCATTTATTGGTTAGTTTCAAATTGGCCCAATACTATTAAACAATTGTCTGCTAGATAGTAGCACATAGTTTGTTTTGGTCATAGGGCATAATGTGATCTATGAACGTATAATTTTTAGTAACCGTATAATATTATAATAGGTAATAAAAATTAGTATCCTGTCTATTTTAAAATCAGAATAGGTAACCTTAATATTCTGAAAGATTTTTTTCCTATTAAAAGTTTTAAGCGAAGAATAATTAATTTAATCGCAATAATATTGTTATTCACAAAATAACCTTGCTGGCTGTTTTATGTGAAATACAAATTTATAATTTTAGAATATTTTGGATTTATAGATGAGTCACTAATCTATTAGAATTATATATATATATATATATATATATTTAGCTAATAAATATAACTACCTAAACAAATCAATAGGGATAAAAATAAAAATAAATTGAGTAGACTTGATTACGCATTTATCATGGCACCTCGGTCCGTGGTATATCTGTTTTAAAATAAAAATGTATATTAAATCGAATAATCATAACCAATATTCATATATTATTATTATTATTATGAAATAAAATAGAGGTAATCGATGAAGTATAAATTATGAATATTAATAGTAGGTACATCCAATACCTACAGCCATAGAAAAGAGATTACAGATTACAGATTACTACAGCTATCGTATATAAAATATTATTAATATTTAATAACTAACTATTAGATTTAATAGTTTTCGAAATATAACTAATTTAAACTGATATTTAAAATTATTTTTCAATTAATAGTGTGGATATAGTTTTAGAGTGTAAAAGATGATTCAGTGTTTTAGAACGATGGCGATAGTGCTGAAAATAAATGAATTTATTTATTGTAGGTTGGTATAGGTCCACATAATAAAAACCATTGGTTTAATTGTGCATAGGTACATGTGGTATAGTAATATGTTATATGTAGTATTGTATGTGTATAGTCTAAAAGTTAGGTCATATTACGTTATTATTTATAGATTTTAAGTAATAATACGCGTTTAGTTCTTGCCAATGTCATTTTTCTTTAAAAAAATTCTCATCTTAGTACCCATATTATGCTGTGGAAATATAGGTATTAGGTCGATTTTAAATTCTGAAATTCAAGGTCATATAATTAGAGTTGGTATGTATAGTGTATTTCCTTACATTTCATTCTGTAAATTAATATTTGCGTGAAACCAGTTTTATGATATTTTTCAGTCTTTTTGCATTATATAAGTACTTAAAACCGAATGTATAGAACTGTGTACATAGTATATGTATTTATCCATATAGGTAGGTATACTTATATAGTTATATAGATATATCATATTTACAGACAACTGAGTCTGAGACAAGGGACGGGAAAAAATGCTTTAGTCCTCATTATGTTTAGGTGCCTAAATTTGTTTAACGAACTATATTGTTTATTGACATGAACATAATATATTTTGGCTGGGGTTCATTAATATGGTATGATGACTTCAATCGATACCTACTACATACGTTATTAGGTACGACGTATAAATAATAAATCTATAACATTCAAATTAATATTTTGAAAATTCAAAAAATAATTTTTATGATTTAATGTCATTCCTAACGAAAGGTTGAATTATTTAATTTTACATATTTACAATTTATCTAAACCTGTCCCCTATTGAATATTTATAAATGTATGTGTAGCCATGTAGGTAATGTATTATGACAATTGTGAATCAAATCTAACACCTAATTATTATGATATGCAAATGCAAATGCAACATAGATATAGGTACCTCGTATCCGTATTATTAATATCACAATAATTACATAATAAATATTTTTTAGAGAATATTATCACTGCTATTATTAATAATTACTTAAATATTTATAAGTACCTATACTCAGTATTCTGATCCTATTTTATTCTTATATTGAATACACTGTGGTTACTTAAAAACACGATTAAAGGTATAAGTGTATAAGTATATTTTTAATCTTGCTTAAAAATTATTGAAACAATATTACGTCACATTTGGTGACCTATCCGGCAGAGACGAATTAATACACAACCCGTTTATGTCCAACGTCGAATGGGTATTATAAGTACCTAAACACACGGTCGACAAACGGTATTCAAATATATTATAGTCAGTCCTTGAAATGTGTTATATATACGTGTTTGGTTGCATCGATCGAGTTTTAAATCTAATTCCTCGTCCAGTCTGACTGTGAACAGGTAACAGTGAGCCTGTTGCTACACTTGAAATTATTGTCTTTGGTTTCACTGAGGAAAATAAAAATGTCGTTAAAAATGTGCATTACAACCGCAGTAACACAGCAACAATACATCGTATAAAATCGTAATTTGATTGGCGCTTAAAGTATTAGAGTAGGAATGTAGGATTATCCAAAGTAAGTTACCTAAGTAGGTAGGTACCTCGTCGTACTCCGTCGTATAGGTACGTCAATTCATATTTCTCAAGCAAACTACATGGTTAAGAGAACGATTTTTTTAAACTGGAATTGTGTTATAAAAAACACGAGATAATATAGACAAATGAAAGAAGAACAATATCAGTTCTGACTTCTGGTCTGGTTGCACTGAGGTTACTGTTTTCAAAATTTTCTTTCGCTTCCTGTTAATATTAATTTTAACCAGGTTGAAATAAACATTATAATAATGATTTCCAATGATAAATAAAAAATCAAAATTATCAAAGCAAAAAAAATTCAAATTTATTTTACTTAAAAGTCACAAGTTTTAAAGGCTATTTGCAGGCTGTTAGCCCCCAACCAAATAACTGCCATCGTATGGCTATATATTAGAAGGGCGCACACAGGATTTTTTTTTTTAGGGGGGGGGGGGGTAATTAAAATTATATCGAATAGAATAAATTTTTAAAAGTGTACAGAAATCTGAAAGAACGCTTGTTGAAATAAACTTTATATTAATATTAATTTTTGCACTTTGAGTTTTTATTTAGTTCCGGTCATGTTATATTATATAAGTAATAATATTATGTAACTAGAGTTTGTTCATCAAATGATGCCTGAGGGCTGCGACAAACCAAATTTCATCGATAAAAATATGCCTAATCGTAAGACGTTTCCAGTTTCGTCTGTAATATTTTACATTTTTTTTTTATAGAACTTGATAATTGACTTAGAACTAATGTTTGTGATTTTTAAGTAAAATGCATTTGACGTTTTTTACCTGTTGTTTTTTTCCTAAATTCACGTTGTAGGACGATTTAATAAATATCTAAATTGTATATCATCTCAAATCGTGGCATTCAGTTGAAGTACAGATTATACAAATTATAATTTATGGATGTAACTTGTAGAATGAAGAATTTAAAAAAAGTCAAGAAGTCAGAAGACGAGATGTTATCGTCGTTATCACCGGACCGTCGTATTATCAGTGAATATCGTATTATCTGTCGATCGCAGACGGTTCATGTTGTGCAACGTTGGAATAAACTTGTCGACTACGGGGTCTCAGGTACGACGACCAAAATGCATTCGCAAAATCGCTGCATTCGCACTTCGCAGTAATAATACCTATAGTAATAATAATAATAATATTATAATTAATACAGAACGTACCTGTCCTACCTATCTATCACATTCACAATAATAATAATATCCCCGAGAACTACAACTCGATTCTCGATCACTCTTATTATACGTCGACACGTCGTGCGCGCTATCATTCTGAACCCCCCAAACGATCGTTATTGGAGAATAATTTATTTATCATTATTATTATATTATTGTTACAAGGAAAAATGATAAAAAACGATATTATTATATAGTTCGCGCACAGCTGCAGCTGACTACTGCTTTCGCGACTGCGAATTTTCAAGTTGAACCTGTTCGTCGTCGTGCATTCGTGTTTCCTTTTTGTTGCCTGCCGATCCGATTGATACGCAGACCGTAGTAAAATCATTTCAATTTTGACGCGCCGCCGCCCGGCCTATTCGCCCGTTCGCCGCAAGTCCTCGACCTGAGCACACCCATAGGTATCCATAATAACATAGCCGAACGCTGTCGCGTTCGGCCCACACGTCCGTCGATATAGGGTGAGTACGCATGATTTTTAACCACTACGATCAAAATGCCCGTCTTCTCAACGTGAGTACTGAGTGTGACCCTTTCACAAGTCAGGTTATCTGGTAGTACCAGTTTTGCGTGTAGTTAGGGTCTTTTAAAAAATGTTCTTGTCCGTGACGACAGTTTCTTTTTTTTAATATTTTCGCCCGCGTTCCTGTTGTCACAATATTGTGTCTAGTAGCTTCGGGTGGCATACAATTGGAACGCAGTCCGATCCGGAATTCTTTCTGCATCAAATTTATTGGTTTTTATTCTCTCCGTCAGGTGACGATGCAGTGTAGCATTAGTCGACATTTCTTGCCGACGTTTTGTCTATTGCCAAGTTAAGGGAACCACTTCATCATGCCCGCCAACGGTCACGATCACGAAGAACTGGTGGTTTTGCCACCAAATGCTTTGGACATGAGGACAACAGGGGTGAATAACAACAACAACAACAATAACAACAATAACAACCAGGCATTCAATGTACGAGATCGCTTGTTCTACGCTCTGTTTTACAAGGCCACCCTGGGGTATGCGAGAATATTCCCAAGATCTCTAAGGAGGCTTATAGAATTTGTATTTTTATTAAAGGTAAACTCTGTTTGATATGTTGACAATTTGTAATTTAATATTTGTGTTTTTTGATTTTAGGCTGTTCTATCATTTTTTGTACTCGTTTATGTGCACATGAATTTCTCACGAATGCCGGCCAATTGTTTAGACCATGTTAAAGATGTTTGGCCTAGAGATGGTATACTCAGAGTGGAGATCATTCGAAGTTATCAGCGCAGTCATGCAGAACAAACAGGCATGATAAACGAATTGTTCACAGTTGAAAAATCTTATGAACGTGAATACAAACTAAAACGTTTGGATACAAGTGATGAAAATGCGTCATTGTTCAACCGCTTTACTAAAACTAATAATCCTGAGTAAGTATCTAATAATTATTAACTAAATAATTTATTTGTTTTATTGTTCTAAACATGCAGTTCATTTATTTAATACTTATTGAAAGTCAATCTTCTGACAATGTGCCTACTAATTGAGAAAATTTTTCATTGATATTCAAGTTTCTAGAATAGACCCCTAAGTACTAAATAGAAAATATTAAAAACTAAATATTCGTTTTCAAAATTCATATTTTATCAAACTATTGATTGTATATTTTGCTTCTGCGGGTTTTTATACACTTATGATATTTATTTTTCATGAAAATTATTAAATATCTTAATATTATGCATTATACCTAGTAGGATGTTGAACAAAATCAACAAACTTTTCATTTACAATACTTATATTGTTTTTCATTTGGCATTTGTATTGGTGCTTTTTAAATAATTTTTTTGAAATTGAACTTTAGCCCGGCGACTAAGGCTATTAGCTGTTGTAGGGGCTATGAACTGTGTTGGGGGTAAGGTTGGTATGGTAGGTTTTGGAACTGTAGGGGTTAGAACACTTGTGTGTTTGTTTTGCCAGAATTTCTAGTGGGCACCCGTAGGTTTCTGGTATGCCCGGGTGGGGGATGGCGGCCACTCTCTCCAGACACCGTGACAGCCCGGAGAGAAGTGTTGCCCGTTACCGATATTCGAATCGGCGACGGTGCGCGTTGCAATCGACGCATTATCCACTCGGCTACTTTGTCCCCCTAAATTATTTTATTGTTATACTTAAGTTTAAAAATATCTTTAAACTGAATCTCCAAATCCATTGTATCTTCTATTATAGATATTAAAGTGTTGTAATAATTAAAAATGTTTTTTTTTTATTTGGTAAAATTGAATATGATATAAATACAAAAGTGGAAAATCAAGCATTTTATTTGTTTTAATAAATTCTGTTAACACTAATCTGTGTTACCGCTCCTTAGTAAACCTTATGGAATAAAAATATTTCCTTTTTTTCATACTATTGTTTTCTGATAGTTTTTAGGCTGTATAAATGGCATAAAGAATCAAATGTTTATTATTAAGTATAGGTATTAAAATTAATTGATGAATGGGGTTACTCGTGTTTTTTTGGTAACAAACGATCCTTGCTTACATTTTTTTTACCAGTAATATTACTTAGAAATTATTTATTACAGCGTTAGAGTCTTTTGGTTAGATAATGTGTTCCACGAGGTTGTTTTCTGTATATTGCTTTATTGACATGGATTTGTGTATTTCCACTACAAATATAATTTATGACTATCTTTCATCATGATTAAGTTTCCCATGTAATCATTATTTACACATCTGTTTTATTGTTATAATTTCGATATAATTTTGGGTTTTAACATGTGCTGATGTGGGGTTGCTTAAGTTCCTTTTTGTAATAGTGTTACAACCATCATAGCTAATTCAAAAGGGTTTCAACACTTTGGTTAATCCCAAACATCAAGATTATTATTATTTAAACATAGACAGCAATCTGAACTTTCATTTATTACTCATTTGATGACTGAAAAATCTATGTTAAGCAACTATTAGTGTTCAAAAATCTTTTTTATATAAAATACTAGCTGTCCTGTCATGACGTTGCCTGTGTATTATATAGCTATATAAAAAAACCAACCTTTTACCCCCTTAGAGGTCAAATTTTGAAAAATCTTTAAAAAAAAAAAATAATATTTATAAATGATTTTAATAATTCTATATACATATTGTTATTAAAAAATGATTCTATAGTTATAATTATAATCTGTATAATTAAACACGTTTATTGCATATCGTTAAGAAAAGTATTATTATTTTTCGATAACGCAATTTGTATAATTGAGCTATTCGGTGTTTTCCATACAACTATTAACTTAATAAAAATGTTATGTTAGTTTGTAGCTTATAATTTCAGCTAGTATTCCTAAGTCATAAATATAGCGGTTGCAGCCGTTGCTAAGTACGATCATCAGTAGACAAATTAACGTGTTGTGTCGAAACAAAGATCTATTATATCATTATTATATTTTTTCTAGCTGATCCCTTGCACTTCGTTGTTCTTTAAAAATGCCAACTCTATATGATCAGTATATTATCAGTAGAGTCCGGATTTGTATGCACTCAAAAAGGTCAAAATAGTATGCATTTATGCATCAAAAAACTTCAAAATATGCACTTGATATGCTCTTATTTTTTTTAATAATATGCAAAAATATGCTCTTATACCCAAAATATTATATGCATTTTAATATTTTTTTTTAAATTCTTCCATAAATAATAATTCAACAAAATTAGATAAACTTAATTTTTTAATTATAGACATTGACTTTAAACATTTTTTAGAGAACAGTAAATATTTAATAAAGAGAAATCCATGTTTTTATTAAAGTTGGAATAGTGCTTCAACTTTTCGGCATTTTAAAATTTATAAATTGTAATGAAATGAAAATTTTAATTTATAAATTTATGGAATGCAAATTGCGAAATGATATATGGGCACTAGTGCACAATTGACTGGCGATTATGCCCGACAACGGCAACGCGATGACACTACGCTGCGTGTTTACAAAATATAAGTCTAATAATAAAACCAGTCAGCATTGTTACGGATGGCCGTGTTGCGGCTTGTGGTAAACGAGATATAATTTTAACATGAACTGTCCAAAAATATAACATACGGAGAATAACATTTATTTCCCAACAATATGTAATGAACTAATAATTTCAACGATGAAATTGAAACAAAATAATTGGCTTAATAAACTTTTAAACAAAATATGCTTGGATATGCAAAAATTTTCAAATATGCATTTATATGCAAAATAAACTTTTTTCTATGCATTATCTGTTACAAAAATCGTCCACATTTCATAACATTTTATGTATTTATTTGATTTATTTATTTCTTATTAATTGTGTATTTCAAAATTAAAGAAATATGTACATTTGAAGACTACGATTAAGTAATAATTATTTTTTGTCTTAGTTCAATATTATTCAGATATCGTTGTGATGACATGATAACACTCATAAGTCATAATCATTGATTTTGTGTGTACATAATTTAATGGTATTCGTTTATTACATAAATATAATGTATGAATAGATATATGTATATTGTATACATGTATTGATAGAAATAATGTTATATATACAATCACATACTACATAGACCATTGAAGATGTTACTTATAGTGTTTCTATATTATGCATTTATATTTTCTCCTCATATAATTACTAATAAAAGACAATGCAAAATATTTGATAACTTCTAGGTTTTGATATAAATTTTGATATTTTCAATTTTTATAAAATTTCAGGGTAGGCTACGGATATTTCATAAAGGGCAGTGGCTCTCTTTTGGTGCTGTCGCTGATAATTCGATTATATATAAACATTTATTGATTAATATTATGTATAATGTACAGCATATTAAAAATTATCTTATGACAAAATATTTTTTTTTAGGAATAAAGGAGAGGTTGATATTGAACCATCAACAGAAGGGTTAGTTGAAAATAAATTTCGAGATACAGCTCAAAACAGCCCAAAACCTAGCTTATTCAACTACTTATCATTTACAAATTACATAAGCTTTGAAGGTAAAATGTATTCTAAGTAAACATAAAATAAGAATTTTTATTGCATATTAAACTTATTTGTTGGTGCCATGGAAAAAGGAGTCAAGTGTTTTTGGCAGTTTATGGTTAAGTTTATGTCAGCACAAAAAGCAAATAAATAAAATTTACTTCTGATTTTTTTATATTTAATTATCAATAAATTTAATAACTTTACTAAAATCTGTTAGAAAATATTTGATCCCTATATTTTGCATGATAATAAATTACCTTTATACTATTTTATACTTATAAACTATATATTTTTAATTATAATTTTTATATATTAAAACATTAGGCAATTTCTTTGGACAGCTATATAATAATTATGAAGTTCTACTGTACCGATATTCATGATTTTTTTCAAACACAAGTACTTGGTATGCAGATTAATCATCTAATGAGAAAAATCCTAAAATGTATTAGTTAATAGGTAGTTTTTGGAAATATTTAATTTTTGGTGTAGTTGCTTAGCAACGTCTGTTGCTTGCTGTGTGAATACACACATCTTTACAAGTACTGTGCGTTACTGCCAGGTATATGCATTTGTGGCAATGGCTTGCCCACAATGCTACGTATACTATTGTGTTATCGTTGTCGTGTACATTTTCTAATAATAACACTATTTTTGATTTCTCCATTTTGCCATGTTGTGTACAGTACTAACAACAGAGAACGCTGAATAGTGTTTTTAATATTGAACTCTTACAGTAAAATTTGTATATAATATTATTATTAGATTTAGTTTTTATTTAAAGTGGAATATTTTTAATGGAATTTTTAGATAGTTTACATTTAAGTGGTTTACCTCTGCATAGCTTGGTACTACAGCAAGGTACTATATATAGTATTGTTTATATATTTCTAGGTACTTATCAAATATTACTAATTTTTGTAAAACTTAATGCATAAAAATCAAATCTATTTTTATTTGAAAACAATAATTATTTTTAATAAGTTAGATTAGTATTAGTTTAAAAATCCATAGGTATATTAAGCTTAACAAATAAAATTGCATCTACAGCTATGGATTTGATACTGGAGCTTATCGAAATATTTGTTGTTTTTCATTACTGATGGTTTAACAAGTTTAAAATAGTTTAATTAATTTTGTTTAAATTTGTGTTAGTTTTTCTGTTTTAGTTTATTAGATAAAATATCAAAACAATTTTTAATTTATCATAAAAGTTTGACTGAAATTTATTTTTTATATTTTATATTAAACAGATTAAAGAACTTTGCTCTAAAAATTGTAATTATATGATTTGAAATTTTAATTATTGGTCTATTATAATTATGATATTATTTTGCTGTGAGCTGTTCAATATATATTGTATGTATTTTCTTTTTATTATTCTTGTTAACATTTAATTTATACAGGCATTAGATCACATTTAAACCAAAATCTAAATAAGTTAAATTAAACAAAAATATGTAGTAAAATGATTTATATTTTGACATAGTAAAATGTAGCAATGATAATCATTTTACATCTTTTCTAGTTTGAACTCTAATACATTGCATTTTTTTTTTATAAAGTTAATTTTACTCTTATGTTACTTATCATAGTTTATTTGTTTTATTATTATTTTATTTTTTTTTAATTGACCTTAAGCTTGGTAACTATGACCATTAGCTGTTTTTGTAGGTTTGTCGATTTGTAGTGGAGAGGAATGGTAGGTTTTAACAAGTGTGTGTTTGTGATTGGTAGTAATTGATTGGGCACCCGTAGGTTTCTGCCATGCCCGGTTGGGGGATGGCGGCCTCTCTCTTCAGACAGATGTCTGCCTGGACAAAAGTGCCGCCCATGACCGAGGTTTGAACCGGCGAGGGTGCAAGTTGCAACCGACACCTTAGTCCACTTGGCCACTCCGTTCCCCGATTGTTTTATTGTTGTCGTCATGACGACTATGTTGTCTAAAGTCTAAATTCAAACTATTTCTGTTAAATTATTAGATACAAAAATTTTAATTGGTTATTTACAATTATTGCCATGTTGTCTAAATATTTTTAGCCCATTTCATATTTTACAATTTTAGTTCCTTGGGTCTATTTTAATAGTGACAACTTACAACATAAATAGTCTTAGTTAGTAAATAAATAGAGGTACTATAGCAACCAGATTAAAAAAAATTGAATTAGATGAATAGATATGTTGTTCTGTAAGACTTCAAACAACAGTGCATATTAAACAGTTTGAATTTTATTGAGCAATGTCTTTTTAAAATAAAATAAGTTTGACTGTCTAATAGGTTTAAAACTTGTAACTTTAAACAGTTAATATTTAAATTAAATAATAATACATTTAAAATCTTTGATAAACTTACCACTTCCCTAAATATAAATATAATATAGTTTTTATAATTCAAAAATTATTTAAATATGCTAATACATTATTTAATATTTTATTTAAAAATTTAATACAAATAGATCCTAATTTAGAAGTTTCCAAACTTTTCTATCACAACCTATTATAGAAAATGTTTAAATTTGGCAATCTACAAAATATGATATTGTACTTAATTTATATTTAACTATTTATTAATAGCATTGTATATTTTATAAAAAGTATAATTAATTTAAATGAATTAAAAAAAAAACAACATATAATTGTTACAAATCTATTGAGAAAAGTATAATTGCTTTCAATTTTGTCTTTTTTGGCTCTCATATTATTAAATACTAATTCTATTTTGCAATTGTCACAGTAAATAACATTAGTTAACAGACATAAACAAAAAATATAATGAAATATAATTGTAGCCCATGTACACACAAAATACATTATTTTTAATCATCTAATATAGGTAATTTTAAATATTATATCCAAAAAATGTATTTCATAATCTTTTGTGACTTATCAGAAGCTTAATAGAATCATAGCTTTCTTGAACCTCTGTATTAAATATTTTCTCCAGCAATAGATAATTTAAAGTACTTATCAATAGTTATTTTTGGTACTACAATAATTACCTATATAATCGTCAATAAATAATAATCTTTTTTTTAAACTTATTTACAGTTTAATATTATGCTCAGTTGGAATTTTTGTAGTAGAGAATTGTGATAAAATTGTTTTTAAATTCATATTTGTTTTGAGTATAAAAAAATGAAATATTAGTTTTAGTTATAAGTCATAACTTAAATCGAATTGTGCAATTATGCGTTGTATGTTCGAAAATATGGAAAAAAAAGTTGTTCTATTTAACTGAGAATAATCCAAATTGTGGACATATTTGACAATCAATCAAGCAAATGCATAGAAATCCTAGCCCTAGTTATAACTTTTAAGAGTTCTTTAATTGTTCAAATAGTTTCAGAAATTATAATATGATTTTATAAAAATTGAATAATTGGCTGTTGCCATAAAATATATTTTATAGTGTTTAAGATTATTTTATCATCTGCGGTTATTCACAATTGGTATATCTTACATATATTTACGTATTGACAAACAATTTTCATTTGTTTAGTATGTACATTTATTATTTCTTTCTTTTTTTTTTGTGCAGACGAAAAAAAAGAAATGTATAGCAGTACCACTAAGACAAATCGTCATACCACTAGTAAATCAAATTTTTCTCTAGTAGAAGACTCAGCACAATTTCGTTCTACTAAGGTACTTGTAATATTCCATTCTTGTAATATTCCATTTGAATCCCTTTTATGAACATAGTAATAAAATGTATTTTTTTTTTTCAGTATCCAAATAGTTCTATTAGAGGTGTATTGGGAATCGATACTAGTTCATTATTCCAGTCTACAAGTACCTCGTCACCTCCGATCGACGACAATGATGGTATTTATATTATATGTGTTGTGAAATGGGCTTGAATGTGGTTTGTCGATGAAAATGCATACATTATTTGATTCTTCATTTTGTAGTAATATATTATGAGAATTACATTGTTGAATATTCATTGGAGTATGGGTTCTTGCGTTTGTCGCCCAGTGCCAGAAATCGATTGGGCATTCCTGTTATGCTAGTAGCCCTAGAGCCTACTCGAAACAAGTGTTTCGGCGATTCGGTGGGCCAGTTTTTCTTAGAGTATTTCCTTGGCTACGATGACTTACTGATGTCCTCCGTTAAATCACTGGCTGAAAATGAACAAAACAAAGGATTTCTGAGGTAAAGACTTACTCTCAAAGACTTACGGTTTGTTGTAAATAATTTTAATTTATTACTATCATGTAAATAATAATTATTGTTTAATATTTCAGAAACGTCATTACTGGAGAACATTACAGATTTGTGAGCATTTGGATGGCTAGAACGTCTTACATTGCATCATTTTTCATAATGGTCGTGTTTGTGAGTATAAAATTATTACTTATTGTGCACAGCATAACCAAAAAAACTCTTATTTTAAGCAGTGTGTTACACAAAAAATTACAATTAATAAGGTGGTGGTTATGGTAGCAGAGGTGATCGATCTAGTTTTTACTCAAAAGTAAAAGATCCTATTTCTGTATAAACTTTTAAAAATAAACAGGGACACAACTAAATGTTTACTGAACATTTGTTGTAATTCTTAAGTGAATAGAACTGTAGTGACTTGAGAAGCTATTTTTCCAAATATTTATCTAGAAACATTAAATTTCTATAAATTTTGATAAAACCTTTTTTTTGCTCAGTTATAAAGCTTAAGAATTTAATACAAGGTTATTCCTAAGTTGTTATTGCTGGAAAAAAAGTTTAAAAGTTGAATATACATTTAAAGTTAAAATTTTGACAAAATTAAATATTTCAACAAAAAATAAAAATTCTTGTTATTTTATTGTAATACAAAATTATTATTCATAGTAACTTGAAACTTTTACACATGTTATTATATTTTGTATATACAATGAAATCCTCAAAATATATTTTTGATTAATTTTATGCTGTTGCCTATTTATAATACAAACCTATTGACTCTGTTCTATGTAAGTCGGTATCATTTCAAAAGTTCATAACAATAAGATTTACAATTTATTATTTTATAATATTATACTATTACTCCTACTATTACTAGGTATCTAAAATTCATAGCTATTAAATGCTTCGCTATCGTTAGATTTGTGTATGTATATATGATTATATGATCAATGATTAAATAGTTAGATATCTATAAATTATTGTTCTTAGTTAAAATTATAGATATTAATTTATATTATTATTAAGTATACCTCGAGGTCTTTGCTAAGCCACGTCTCCACGATAAAAATTTGATTTAAAGAAAACTTGTTTTAACAATATATTTTTAAATTTGTTTTTAATAATTTTCTTGTCTTTGTTAATTTCTTAGGAAAAATTCTGATAGCTTAACTTTTCGATTTAATTTCGTTAATTGAATACTATAAGTAGTCAAAGTAATGCTTCGATTTTCAACTTCCGTATCTTTTCTGATAGGAAAGTGATTAAAATAAGGCATCTTAGAGCAAAATTGATAATTCCTAATAGTTTTCAAAAATGTTGAGGTAAAAAAAAAAAAACATTAATTTGCAAAATAGTTTTTGATAAAATTAGTTTTGTTATTGATGTAACTCATAATCGAATACCAGTAAATACTTGAAACTTTCACTAAATGTTTATATTAGCATTTTATATACACCATTTTAAGCTTTTAATAGACATAAAAATATTGTCATTAAAAAAAAGTTTGGTCTGTCAAAAGTTTGAAAATTGAATACAAGGTTTTTCATAAGTTGATATAATAGCAGTTAAAGAATATTAAAGATAAGTCTTTAGGTACAACTTTTTTTTTTCGCCATTTAAAGTTCAAATGTTGACAAAATTCATCAAGTTTATATTAATTCAACCTATTGTATTACTAATGACTAATATTAAAATAAATAACTTTGATATTTAGCAATGATATCATAAAATATACTTACCTAGTAATATAGACTGCCAAACCATCTTCATTCAAACTCATTTTTCATATACAATGATTTCATATTACCACTGAATTTAAATTTAGAATATCCATTAAAGTGACCCTGTGTAGACGCCTACAGTATAGCAGAGTATAGCTGTATAGCAGAGCACTTGCCCCCCTTTTGGATCCTGAGCGGAGTAATAGATGCATTGATATTACAATGATGTGTGTTTTTAAATTTATTTAATTTTTTTTTGTGTTTGTCATTAGGGTTTCTTGCAGTAAAAGTGCTTCGATTTTCTTCAACAGCAACTTTTCTGGTAGGAAAGTGTTACTAGTTGCTGTATTTGGGAGGTCAAAATTTAAAATTCCCAATAGTTTTTAAAACAACAGGAAAAACAAACAAAACATTAAATAAAAACTTGAATTTTTACGCAAAACAAGTTTTCGAAAAAAATCGATTTAGTTTTTAGTTTAACTGTAGCAAAAATGACAGTTGATACATGAAATTTTCACTGAATATTTGTATTAGCATTTTCTACACACCATTTGCCTTGAACTATTTATAGGCATATACAATTTTCGATTATTATTTGTTTTTATTAAATTAAAGTCGATAAAAAATTTTTCGCTCTTTCAAAAAACCTGTAAATGTAATACAAGGTTCCTTGTAAGTTGTCGTTAGTGCAAATTAAAGAAAAAGTTGAGCATAAATCCAAAATAATTTTGTATGAGAATTTAAACTTAGAATTTCGCAAAATGCATAAAAATTACGAAAATTAGAATATTATGTATTTATATTTAGTTAGAAAAATGTTTCTATTTATATCTAAGATTTAAAAATGTGATACAATATTCCTTACAAGTTTGTTTACCTTTATCAAAAACAAAATTTCTACCGGAAAGTCAAATGAAGTTTTTGTCAACGTTTGAATTTGAAATTTTTACAACATTGGATATTCACTCGATTTGTCTAGTAGCGATTTTTTTATTTTGTTGTTGTTCAAAAACGAATTACTGTAGATATTTGAAATTTACACCAAATGTTTATTTCACCAATTCATATTTTTGATACAATTTTCAAAATATTTTGACTCGTTTTAAGCTGTTGACGGACATTTAAAATTTAAATTTTTTTCTGTAAATGTCAATAACATTTTATTGGTTGGGTCAAAAAGCATGAAAATTTAATACAAGACTCTTAATATACTGTTAAAATAGCAGTTGAAAAATATTAAAAATACATAAGCACAATTTTTTTATAAGCTTTAAAGTTCTAATTTTGACAATATTTATCAAATTTAAAATTGAAAATGATTTTGTAGTTAAAAATGTATAATATTTTCAATTTTTATAGCTCAAGATTTAAAATTTAAAACAAAGTTCCACTTCAGTAGTTTTTCTGTTACTAAGAAATCTAAAAAATGTATGAATAGGTACAGTTATTTTTTACAGAAATTATAAGTTAAAATTTGGACAAAATTGTATACTAACACAAAGAATAATGCTTATTATTTTGTTGTAATTTGGTTCCAAAACTGCCCAATTTTACATAAGCAGATATATTTAATATTTTTTCAGCATCTCTGATAATTTAAGAATAATATTAATGCAACTTACTGGCTACCATATTAATAATAAGTAGGTAATTACAATATAAAATATCCTTAACTGACATACCGCCTCCGCTCAGAATCGTTTTTCATATACAATGATTTGATATCATTGAATTCAAATTTAATACCAACCATTACAGCAAAAATTTTTAGACACCTAATGTACATCACAGCAACATCCACTTACCCTCTTTTTTTTATTATTATAATAAACCGCAAAACTAAATAGACGACTTTTTACAGAATCATGATTTTAGTTAACTACAATACACATTTATGTATCTAACCCAATATTACTCTAAACTTAAAAAACCGTTGACTTGAATCTAAACTTGATTCAACTAATTATTATGCAGCTTGCAGTCACAAGGCACTGTCGATGTGCACGGACACTTTGTTTGATTGGCAGACGGTACAATTAATATATATTTTTAAATTGTATACAATTCAATTTTTTAGTTCTGATTATAGTTGTATGCGTCTCATATATGTTTAGGCCAGTATATGGGCAGTAGCAGTGGAGAAACAAAATTCGTTTTAGGATTTAATATTCCGTAATAACTTATTAGTATAAATAATAATAACAATACTTTTATTCTTAAATTAAGTTGTTCACGTAGGGTAGAAGTCTCGTGTATTATTTTTCAACATAATACGTCTTCGATCAAATTACCGCCTGAAGTCATATATGTGAGATTGCTTGGTAGCAGCGACATAATGATTAAGAAAACCAATAAGAAAGGAGTGCGTGAAATTAGATACGATGTTTTATTCCCCCGAGAAATGAATGCCCATATATCCTCTTCCTCCTGTTGCCAATTACTATAGCCGAATTTTCCCCTTTTTGTTAAAAAAAAAGAAAAGAATTTGGTATGAAAATTCAGTTCTTTTAAATCACCTCAAACTACCGACTGGCGTGAAGTAATTTATTTCAATTGAAAATCAATTCGACTCGTTTAATTACGCGTGTTCATCATAAAATATGTAGTTGATGTATCATGCCGGTACCTTTATTAAATCATAATATATTTTGTCGAATGATCTAATACAAATTAAATAATCGCAATATCTCGTTCGATTTTACGCAATTGGCATTCTTAGTTTATTGCGTTATTTATTATATAAATAAATGCTACAGGGATAAATATAAATTATGATCGAATTACTTAATGAGTATATAATATAGAATTCGATTAAAAAATAATATTACAATTAATCATTTTGTTTTATTATTTTGTATCTTTGAATGTTGAAAACTATCAATTTCTGTATAAATGATAATATGTTGTTATGATTTAGCTTATATCATCAAAATAATTAATAATGAAAATTCTAGGGCCTATAAACCACATTTGTTTGTGTAAAACTGAATACTTTGATGTGTATTTATAAATATCTTAAGTAATTCATAAATATAGTTGGAATAAGCTTTTAAAAAAATTATTTGAAAGTTATAGCGGGAATAAATTAAAATAGAGGTAACATTAATTTGGAAAAAGATTTAAATTATATAGGGTTGACGAAGTTATAATATTACCTTAGAGTCTAATATTCATACGTACATTTTAAATAAGGTAGGCACAGTGCGTTCTATGTATTATCAACTAAAAACTTCACGGTTTGAATTAATTCTTTAATGTCATTCATTACCTATTTATTTATTAATATTTGTTATTACCTAATTTTTTGAAGTATAATTTATCAATATTTTAAACCTCTAAAATGTTGTGTTGTAGGAAATGTTTTCTACAGTTCTCAGCTACAAAATGATTTTTAATATTGGTTTCGGTTGAAATTAAATATTTCGTAATTACTTTAAGTACCTTAGCTGGATATTCTTTAAAATATTTTTGTAAATTCCTTTAGTAACCTATCATATTTTTCATAATTTATAGTTTTAGACTAATTGGCGATCACCTGATATAACGGGATAAGACTTCTACACTGGTAGGTGTGTGTGCGGGGGCACTCCTCTATTTTTTTTTCAAAGTCACACACACTAATGATCTAGTTACTACCCACATCTTAGGCTAGCAAGCGTACAATTTGAAAATTGCTTTTTGGAACTCCTTAAAAACTGTCCGTTTGCAATCCATTTAACTAAAAAATACGTATAACTTTAGATTTCAAATCTTGCCTCATATCATGTTTTACAATTTGTAACTGTTTTTCTAACCACATTAATTGCTTGATGATTATTGATGAACCAGTTCTTAAGTACATTGTGTATATGTTAATAATTAACATTAAACTATTTGTTTGTTTTTTTGCTTTCAGACTGTTTCGATTTCAATGCTCTTGAGGTACTCACACCATCAGATATTTGTTTTCATAGGTAATATATATTATTATTATGGCGTTAAATAAATAAATAAACAGTAATAATTATTAAAAATATTTTTTACATTTTGTTTATTTATGTTACAGTGGATTTGCTGCAGCTATTAGATTTTCACGGTTCGCTCTCTTTCCCGGCGGCGCCACTTTTGACCGTCATACTGGCTTTGGTCGGTGAGTAAAATAAATTATGATAATAATGATAGTAATAAATAATAATCCGTCCGTGTGATTTTTCGGCGGACCCGAATATTATTATTAAAACATTTAAAACCCTGTCAAACGGCGTACGCGTCATTGGAGTTCACTGACGCCGTTGACGTCCGTCCCCCGAAACATAATTTTATGCATTAACAATTAAGGACTTTGTCAACACGATAACATTGTGCCATGTCCTGCACTCCTGTAGCATGTGTGCGGCAATAATAATGACGTGGAGAGTTGGGGTAATAACGCGGGGGTTGTCGTGTATTAAAGGGTTTTTGATTCCCGATGACGATATACGTCCAGTTAGTTTATTGACTGTTATTATAATAAATATTATTCAAATTCCCAACAGGCATGGAGGCCATTATGTCGGAATTTTTCAACGACACCACCACGGCGTTTTACATCATATTGATCGTCTGGGTAGCTGATCAATATGATACTATATGCAGCCATTGTCCGATCACGAAAAGGCATTGGCTAAAGTGAGTACCTATATAATATAAAAGCTATTATTATTGTCGTCATATAATATATATATCCTACGGCAGGGGGTCCTAGTCAGGGGGTTGGCAGATTGGGGGATGGTACTGCAGTGACAGGGGGTGAGGGTATTGGCGAAGAAATTACACGAGAAAGTTGTCTCGAACACGAGTGCATCACAGTTTGACATGAGGTACGGAAAAAAGGAGGAAGGAAGAAAAGGGTCCATTGCAGGACGAGGAATACGAACGCAACACTACGGGGATTCCGTTGACCGCCCGCCAGGAACTGTAATGAATATACCAGAATTGCACTTTTCCTCCACTCCTACTCACTCAGTCTATCTGGTATGTGCGCTTGTGCGTAAGTGTGCCAGTCGTCTCTTACAGAAGTGTAACTGGATGGCTAAAAATAAAACTGCCTGATATATTATATATACAGGGTGTTTTCACCATCAATATAACTTATTTTCTTTTCAATTTATTATATTTAGAATGCTACCTGAACTCTATATGAAAACAATTAAAAATTTTTTTTCGTGTTTCTTTATAAACGTGTTTGAGATAGTACAATTATTGAATTAATTTATGTAGGTATTTCAAAATTTGAATCTCTCATTTCCATGAAGAATAATATTTAAATAATTGTGTATATCAATACAATATGGTACTTCTTAAAATTTAGTGTAGTGTTGGATAGTAAACACGGCGAGACACCCTGTATAAATATATATATATATTGTAATATTTATAGATATATGCGTACTATGTTGTGTGTACCTAAGTATATTGTATATTTGTGTATGTAAATCGATTATGTTTCTGTTCCAGGTTTTTCTATCTGTACCACTTTTCGTTCTACGCTTACCATTATCGGTTCAACGGTCAGTATAGCAATTTGGCTCTCATCTGTTCGTGGTTCTTTATTCAGGTAATACGAAATGACTTTTTTTATTGTAATTTTTGCTATTGTTTTTATGTTTTTACGATGGATTGGATAATATGAGTATATTGTAAATCATCGTTTATTTTACATTCTAATAGCGTTACTGATTGATTTTGGATCGATGCTTGTAGTGTTTGTTATAATCACAATAGGGTGGGTGCCTTTTTTAGAATTGTTCCAACTAAATTATTTTGATATTTTTTGTCTGGTTACACTGCAAATCGATCCGTTTTTTTTTAATTGAGGACTAGTAATATTTTTATTTAAAATTTAAAATGCTTAACAAAGGTTAGTAAGCTGAGATTTTTCTGTAATATTATATTGCGTTATGCTTTTGTTGCCCTCCATGCGTTCTGTTTTTTACTATTATTGGAAACGAAATTTTATTGTTTACGGGAGATGAATCTTATTGTTGTACGTTGCACGCCGATGGTTTATTTGTGGTCGTTCATGTATTGTACGCAATACATAGTATTATATATTTATGTTTATTTGTATAATATTATCACTATAGTGAACCGATAAGGTATTCGAGTTTTTGTCGTCTGTTCTGGACATATGATTTGAACCATTTCTAATTTGAATATTATAATATATTGGGGATATCGTGAAGTCTGCAATAGATCGTTATTCACACTGCGCACCATCGTGATGCTTTTATAGTGCTTTTACAGCGTTGTTGTTTTTTCGTTATCGGTCCATTTAATATTATATATATATCGTACCTGTGTTATGAATTCAGACAAGAATTTTAAAAATGCATAATACTTTCCAGAACTTCGTGGACACGTTTTTCTTGATGCGCTCTCCGGTAATGCAGACATTTATATTATAGTATTTTAAGATATGCAAATTATATTTGTCGTACGTTGACAGTATAGTATATAATATGTACCTATATAAACGTTGAAAATCTTAATAATTAATCAGTCAGTGAGCGATTCTAAAAAATTAAAAACATCTCTTTGAGCTATTTTTCAAATGTTTTGTAGCAAAGTAAAATGCCACCCTTTTATTTAAGTGAACTCTTCCGCAAAGTTATATTAATGGATTTGATTTGTGTCTGAAACATTTCTCTCGATTTCTCCTCGTTAGTGTGTTAGTTCCGGTTTTTTCTTCCTCCTCTTCTCTATATAAGCAGAAAACACACATCTCGAAAAATACTGAGTACAGGTATATATCCTATATAATATTATATACATATAGTGTATATAAGTATTAAGTATATACGCTTTTGAGGGGTGTTGCGCGATCAAACACCATTTCACGTTTGATTACGTAGATATTCGGTATATATTTATATATATATCGCTATAGTTGTTTCTGTCCGAGTTCGTATTTAATATAGTGATATCAGCAATCTACGTAATGCGGTTCACTGCCCGGCGCGTCGACGGGGTCGTTTTGTGATTATCATTATTGCTGCGTTATATTCGGGTTTGAATTCGATTTTTTTTTACTGTAATTTGAATGTGCAATTGTCGTGTCCAGTACTGTGTTATTGTAATTAACGGACAAAAAACCCAATGGTCTATATTATTATGTGTATTTTCTAGAACGCGCGTCGCACACAAGTGTATGTATATATATATAGGGTCGTAAACAGAATGAATTCTGAGCGTCGACGTCCCGGAGGGTTGATGTGAAATTTCCATATAAATTTAACAAAGAGCAATGTCTGTCCTGCACCTCCTTCTCCACCCTTTCACTGTGGCTCTGCTTGCATATATACTTTATGATCGAATCGTTTTTTGCTTATTTTCGTCATTATTATATTTAATGCATCTTTCTTTTGGGGCCACCAGTTTTATCGTATAGCATATTATAATAATAAAATAATAATAATATATTCACGTAAACTCTGGCGCAGGTTTCGAATTATTTAAATCTGTATGACTGAATAGTGTTATAGAAATAACGCCGCTGTAATGATATTATGTCTCAGTCACGCGACACCAACGCACGTAGTTACATTTTTAAGCGTAATTAAATATCACGATTAAAATATTAGTTTTGTATAGTTACGTTAAAAAATGGTATAAATCTTCGTTATAAATTGCATCAAAATTTATGTAAAATACAAATTTAATTTTTCTTCAATGTCTGTTAGAATTTAAATTATTATGTACTTTTATAACATTCTTTAAGAGGACGCTACACCCGCATGTGTTATCTCCGTCTTACAAACGTAGAACATAGCAAAAACATATTTTGCGCGGGAAAGAACCGAGAAAGCTACAGTCATAATTAAGAAACGAAATTTTCACCACATAAAAAGGAGAACGTTGGCTGTGCAATATCGTTTTTATATTTTCGATATCGGAAGTACAAAAAAAGTTTTTCAAATTTGAAAAATACAAAAACAAATGTATTTTGAAACAATAATAACTTTTTTCATATAAGTGATATCGAAAAAATAAAAACGATATTGCACAGCCAAAGTTCTCCTTTTTATGTGGTGAAAATGTTGTTTCTTAATTATGACTGTAGCTTTCTTGGTTCTTTCCCGTGCAAAACATTGTTTTGCTATGTTCAACATTTGTAAGACGGAGACTGCACATGCGGGTGTAGCGTCCTCTTAACACGGTTTTTTAAATTATATCCAAACAATAAAAATGTTTTCATTGATCATTTTTATGTATTATAGTACCTAGTTAATGATATTGACTTGAAATATTTGTATCTCACATTTTGTTATATCTTATGTCATATACATATATAGGTATGCAGTTTAACAACAAGATAGTTCTTAATTTCTATAAACGATCATTAAAACTTTTAAATAAATACCATTTATACGAGAAAAAAATCAATGAATCAAATGAATTAGGTTTTTCGATATTTTGACTACCTACTACTATCAAATATTATAATAGAAATATTTGACCGTTTCTCGAGTCAAAAAATAATTTAACAATAAAATATTGTTATTAAATAATTTTTCTGTTAAATTGTAATCTCTCATGTTTTAATATTTATGATACAAAATTATTATAACCACGAAATTTTTGTCTATCAAAACGATATGGTTTTAATACGCATAGTTATTGCATGATTTATACTTTAAAGCTCTAACTAGTATAGTTTTGGTGGTTTTTGTGTACGCAATTATGTCGTTTTTATTTTTGTCTATATTATTTTGTCAAATAACACTCACAATATTACACATCGTCTCCAACTGCGTTTGAGTTTAAATTAAACATTTTAATAATAGATCCAATAATGTGTGATATGAAAAGTCACGGCGTTATGTCCTTCGAATTTATATATATTGTGATGCCTTGTCTCAGATTCCCGGGATACGTGTTCGTATCTTCTCGCTCGTTCTTTCGTTTTTTCTTTACGAATCTTTAAAAAAAATTGTACACACCCAGACTGAGTTAAAGTGGTAGTACACCGTGTATGCATGTTTTGTTATGATTCTGTCGACATCGTGTTATTTGCCAATCGTATACATACGGACGGTCAACCGGAAAATTAAAACGCATTTTCACGGTCTTCTTCACTTTTTGTGAGTGCTGGTGCTCATAAATTAATTATTTATTTATAACCTGCAGAACTTGCGAGTTGCGAGATCGCAGACAGCCGCGTCTGTGCAAATTTGAAGTTTCAAAAAAAGGCTTAACATTTTTCCCTTGTCTTTTTTCCGCAGCATTCCATGATTTACTTTTATCATCACTACGAGCTGCCGTATGTGCTGCAGCAAGCTCAACTGCAGCAGGTGATCATCCAGCGGCAACAGCAACAGCACCAGCAGCATCAGCACCAACACCAGCCGACCGGCGGGGAGTCCTTGCGTCCGGAGGGCAGAAGTCCGGTAGAGGTGACCATCAGGCCGGTTCAGCATTTCAGCCTGATGAACGGACTGAATAACCTGGGTCGTTTGCGGGCGGTGCTCTTGCGTCGGCGGAGGGTGAGGACTTTCGAGCCTCCGCCGCCACCACCAACTAACCAACAGAACACGTCTCCACAGCCTCCCCGGACGCCTTCGACGACGTCCGACGCGACCGGAAGTGCTGGTCCGGAAAACGTTACGGCAGCGGCGCCCACTGTCGCAATGCAATAGTGTGCTTTATACCCGCGATGAGCTGCCAAACTACCTACCACCTATACCTTACATACCTATCTTACTTACCTTATAATACTCTTCAACAACAACAGCAACAACTCCTACAATAACGATGTTGACGACAATTGCTACTACTGCTCCTCCTGCTATTATTGTAATAAAGTTTTTATAATGCCGCGCATATTATATTATTATATTATAATTAACACATTAACGCCCTATAATCTGTGATATATGATATACGTGTGATAACGGTGGTGACAACGACGAAGACGAGTAAAATGATGTATATAATATATGTACTTATGTATACATCACGGGACTTGAAACGGCGGCGGCGTATGTATAGCGATCGTTTAATTAAATATATTTTATTGCTTTTGTTATTATTATTATTATTATTATTATTATTATTATTTTGTATTTTATATTTTATTCTTTGGAAAACGGTACGCGAGAGCCATCCGGAATTCATCGTTTATACGATAAATAATAATTTATTATCGTAGTAATATTATGTTTATCGTTCGCACAAACTCATTCGCGTGATTGTGGGGGTATGTGAAACTGGCCGCTCCGCCGCTTTCGTCCTTGCGGTTGTGATGAAAGTGGCATCGGAAAATATAAGTGGTGATGGAGCCAGGGAACGTTTTTTTCTTATTTTAGGATTGTATTTGTTTTTATTTTCACTCTACCTAGTTTGTAAATTACAATTGTATATTTTTTTGTTCTATAGCATTTGTAATTAATATTTATACATATTAATTATTATATGCCATTTGTTATTTTAAAATATTGATATTATATAATTTTAATACCGTTGTACTATAATATATTATCGTGCAGTGTTATGCTGTATATGACGTGTACGTACGTTTTTCGAACATTCAATTATATTATATAAACATGTACGAAGTTTTTATTGTTTTAATTAATTTTTTCCATCTACATATCGCTTGGATCATTGAATGTGCACTCCATAAAAGAATTTATCCGAACATTTTTTTCAGCTTGATCCACAGAGTCGCGTATATCTGTTTCGTCTTTGAAGCTTGCCGTGATGTCTGTGGTTATACCAAGTGAAATTAAACATCTATACAGGCCCTATATCAACGATCGCATACGTGGGATCTAACTCTTTATGTCGTATACTTGTTGGACCGTACACCCGTCAACTGCAAAGGTAACTCGTCGATACTGGCACATGTGTCATGATAAATAATAATATAGTTTATTTTTCGATTTGGGTTTTTTTAAAAAAAATAATTCTTTTTGAATTTCGTGGTCGGTGTCTGATGTAGTGAACTTGTGTATAGTGTATACAGTTACGGTGCACATTTTAATTCATCGGCCCGGAGCGTTTTTCTTTCGAGTGTAATAACTAATAATTAACACTCCCAAGCCCTGTTTAATTGGTGGACAGGGAGAGGGATGGTTGATAAAAACAGGTCGAGTATCTGCCTCCTACCTCTCTCTCACTCTCTTTGCATATAAATGTATAGTATAATTGACCCACGGGGAAGAAGAAATGGTGTTTAATGCTGAAAAAAAATCTGAAAACAATAATTAAGTGTATGGTAGGTACCAAACAGCCGTATTTATAAAGAGAGCGTAAATAAAATTCCGCCTCCGTTTCGTAACGGGGATGAGAGCGAAACTTGGAAATATAGCTGTTGTAGCGGCTTCGAGGTGAAATGTCGAGATTTCGTGACCAGCTCTTATATATATACACTATACTGTATACAGTATACACACCATACCTTAACCGCGTCCCTTATTTTTCTTTCATTTCACACTCCTCTCCACCCTCTTATGTATAGCTTCTCCCACGAGTCCCGTCACTGCTGAGTTCTTTATACACCTTCACACCCGCCCTTCCACACGAACGGTCTTAACGATTTTACTCTGCGCCGCTTGCATTTTTCTTGACCGGGAACTTATACTTTACATATTATGTAGGTATTCACTTACATACGTATACGCCACGGAACTTCAAATATTGTAAACATTTATTAAAAACAAACATTATATACATCATGATGGGTAACCCGCACTGCAGTAAACCACTGTTACTGTCCAAGTCTCCGAATGATGATAATAGAAAATAGTTAGGTGGTCGGAAATTTAGCCTAAGTACTATATTATATTGTGGCAGTGATTGATGAGTATAGGTATTGTTCCTCTCAAACAGGAGGTTGGAATTTTCTTTGTTGGGATTACCTAGTCAAATCGCTGTTGTAACCATGATTAGAATATATATGTGGGTCACTGAACTTATTTATTATGTATAGTTATATATTAGGTATGTTTGTATACACGGTAATTAATATAAATATCTATATTACATTGTATTTATTTGTTGTTAATCTAAAATCTTTACTATGAAAGTTCTAGTTTGAAAAAAACATTAAATATAAATCTACCACTTAAAAACGCTGATTAAAATTCACTCGTGTGTCCCTTACATTTAACGCAATGCACCTAATTATAATTTGCGTAGTAATGGCAATGCGATTTACCTGCATAAAACTATGCAAAGTAGACGTAATAATTGCACTCTATGACATGAAGCTAGTCTGAGAATAAGATCGGAAATCATATAGGTATGCAGACTACGGAGTAACTGAAAGAATTGACAATTTCAATTAATTAATTAGAGATAAGGTATATGTAATAACTGTTATTCCAATTGATATTGAATAATATTTAACATTTTTCCGAAATGATAGTTTTTCATAAAATCCAAAATCCCAAAACCATAAGAATTATATATTTGTATAATAAAAAAATGCCTATCTGTTAAGCCTCACAATACCGTCTCAGAAGCTCGGTCAATTTGGATATTAATTTTATTTTAATGTAATTTTTACAATTTTAATACTTTAGAATATACTATATGTAGGTACAATGTACAATGTACATATAATTATAAATTTTTGTATACAAAAATTAACACTTGTCTTCCAATAGGGGGGGGGGGAGGGGAGGAGGGCAACACATCCATCGTCAACCCTCAATATGCTACTGTAATATGGGTACATAATACATATTTACGATAGTATATTGTGAGTATGAAGAATGTTAAGGCAATAAGGTGTGGCTATTATACAAATGAAGAGTACCTATAATATATAATATAGCTGGAACTATTTTTCATCTGTTTAATATATAGCTTCGGGTTACCTTGTTTACATTTTAGAATTTATTTTATCGTAGGTGCGGTGTAGACACGATATACACATAAATACATATTATACTATTTTATGTGTACAATCTAATATTATTATTATATAATAAATTAATAACCTCGCCAGTCGGGATAGCTGCAGACTTCTCGGTAGCGGTAAATCGTAGACATGAGGGAATTTGTTGCAAATTATATAATAGAATAAGGTTTGTGGAATAAATTATTTAGTACTCTACACCCACGAATATATGTGATTTGACTTTTCCCACATCACCACAAGGAATTTTCAGTTCAGCGTGCTTCGCATCAAGTACAATTTTAGTGGGAGCCAGGAGGGGTTTAAAATAAAACATTTAATTTAGAATTTAAAAATATCTAGGTACCTATAAGGCCATATGGCTTCATAGGAAGTTTTGTAGTTTGAACTACGTCCAATAGGCAGCGCTGAACTAACTTTTTCTTGGTTGATTTGATGCCAATATGTCATACCCATATAAACTATATATTTACCATTTTTTGTAGGAAAATTCAGGTACTGTACATAGTAACTAATTTAATAGTACCTACAAAAGAAAATAACAGACAATGCTAGACTGGTCTATGCTTATACATAAATTGTATAATTAATGTGATGATTACTTTTTGATTTTGATAATCGTATTCTTATTAAAATAAATAAATAAGTATTATTTATATTATTTATAATGTACCATAGGGATTTTTCGCATTGTACAACTATTGGCGTGCAATTCATGGATGACTATTATAGACTATAGTATCTACATACGGAATATATATTATTAGTCTACCGTTTCCTCAAAATGTAGGTACCGACTATTAAAGTCAATATAAAATACAGTGTAGAAAAAGGATAATATTCCAAAAATAAGAAAAATAAACTGAGATAGCCATTTTGTAGCTGAATGGCAAATTCATTTAATGAGAGTATAAAGGATAATATTTCATTGAAACTCATTTATAAATGTAGCTTTGTTTTTTACGCTGAGGGGATAAAAGATAGTATTCCACTCATAAATAAAGTTTTTTTTAATTTTCAGAAAGTTAAGTGTTGAGGAATATTATCCATTTTTTACTCAGCTGTTCAAATATTAATTTATCTTCGTTTTTGAATACGTTTGACTGTGTGGGTTTGTTTATAATGTCAAAAAGATTTTAATTTATAAAATAAAAAAGTTGTTTTTCTAAAATTGACAAGAATTACGTTCGGTGTTGCCGAATAATCCTGACATAATATTTGTGCTCTGAGCCATTGATATAATATAAGCGACATTATTGGGTTATTTTTAACCAATTTTTTTTCTAGATAGGTACAGCTGCTGTATTTTATATTAGATTAAACTCAATATAAAAGTGTTTACAGTAATAAGTACTAACATGTTAACACGTATGCTTTTATAAAATAAACACAAACGAATATTATAGTTTTATTTGTTTGTAAATGCGTGCATACAGTAGGTGGGTATACTGGGTAGTGGGTACTGTGTGAATACTTCTACCATCGTTTTCGCTAATCCGTTCTTGAGAGGAGACGCTTGAGAGGTGAAAAACGAACGATTTTCGAAAATACGTTTTCTTATATTTTTGAGTATACTTATATAATATACACTGAGGTTTTTTTTAAAAGTGTTTGCCATCACAAGATTTTAGAAACATCAATATCCGCGCTCGTTTTGCCTAAGTAAACAACATCTGCAATAACAAAAACTCGGGTTGGTACATATTTAATATTTCGTCACGGGTTAGGTATTGGTATGTATTATATATAAATATTTATTATTCCTCACAAATTAATTTGATTACCTCTTAAGAAATTCAAAATTGAACATTTCTGTTTAAACGTTTGTGTTGTGTCTTTGTGTATGTACCGTATGTCGTACTGTATTATGTTATTATTTGTATCATGTAGTTATACCTAAATTTATTCAGGTAAAATATGTAGGTACAGCTCATTTAATGTATTATAAGACGATTATTTAATCATTCAACGCTTTACAGTAGTTTTCTTAGTGAGTATAATATAAAATTATTACAGTGTTATCGATAATAGTTTTTTACACGATTATAAAAAAAGTTTTATTTATACCTTTAAGATGTAGGATTATAACACCACATTTTTGGAAAAAATTATAATTTTTACGTTCTATATTTTTCGAATGAACTATTTTTATTTCAAATGTCGAAAAGTTTATATACGAACATTTAATCTCGAACCTCCACTCTCCAGTTAAATATCAGTTTCACGGGGTAAGCTATTAAACTCCGCTAATATACAATTTATATGATTATAAAAAAAGATAAATTTATCAAGAAAATGACTGTATGTGTGTGTATAGTGAATTATCTAGTGAATTCGAACGTGTAGTTTACGTTATATTTGATGTTTATCTTCTTCTGTGATATTATACATGATAACGTAGGGATGTGGTAAGTAGAACTTTGGGCGGACGAGAGATATACGTAAAATCTTAATGTATGGGGTGAGAAAATTTCTGTTGAGTATAAAAGTAATATATAAGTACAACTTAAATGAAAACCAGAACAGAGCATTTATCCCATATAATATTTATTAAACATAAATAAAAGTTGATTCGAATAAATTTGTATGTAAGTGTGTTCTTCCTTAAATATAAGTATAAAATCAGATATAATAATAGTCATTTATAAGCAATCGATTTCTGCGGTTTTAACCACCCAACAGTTATGTCAAA